TATTCAAGTTATGACTGACATCTTATAGAACTGGAATCGATACATTGACTGATCCTCGGGGAGTAGCCAATTTCACATTGTCTAGTCCTCAGTGGTGACTAGATTTTATTGATCACCTTGCAGTGTGAGCGCAGATACATCCACCTAACAAATGCTAACAAACATGAAACCTTGGTAAGACAAGTCTTCTTGCTAATTGTCTCCAACTACTTAAGGTGTTCTACTTTTAAGACAGATTCGTATAATAATGGCTAATAACATTTTTTATTGGCTACCGAATTGTTAGAAAACTTTCCAATTCTGTATAAGTTTAATAATTGAATAATCTATTTGATTTGAAAAACTTGTAACAATGTCTCAACTCACTAAAAAATTGGTTTTACCCTTCAATTTTTATTTTTTTTTTTACTACCCACTCACTTGAATGTTTCTGACTCAAATGCAATCAATTCACTTACCTCAGACTAGAATACTGTGATGATAACATTCATGCCACGCCAAGCTATGAGTTCACTGATGCTTAAGTTATAACTTCACTATCAGAAATCAGTCTCCTACTTCCAAGTTGTTCACTGTACTACTAATGTAACCTCAAGATGAATCATAAAGCCTGAAATCTTTAGTGCCTAGAGATTTGTAGTAAATCGTGAAATAAAGTTTATTGCCTTGAAATGCAAATAACTAATAATGTTATAACTCGGTTGAAAAGTCATTATTCAAAGCAACCATGTCAACTACTATTGAACGTTTAATTTGACCATAGGCTGTAAATATGTTTTAAAAAGTAGGAAGCAAGAATTAACCGAAAACATTTGAGCTATGTAATTCATTACTGTAGACCTAACCAATAAGACACAAAATTTTTATTCAAAACCATTTTTCATTGAGCTACTGTGATAAAAGTTTGAAGAAATCACTTCCACTCAAAGTTAAAGAAAGAATTATCGATAGACTATACTAAGAAAAACAACCTGGATATTCCTAATTTAAAAAATCTAAACAATTATTTTCAACATTACTGAAAAATTTAGAAGTAATAAATATTTTGAATTACATAAGGTGTCAGGAGCAGTAGTCACTGTCTCAGAAATCATACTAAGCTGATAGCATAAATTTGTCACTCAGCATCTACAGAACTTGGTCAAGGAGCTATAAGTTGGTAGTCAGCTGTTCAATTAACTTCAGTCATCACGATGGTGTCCTTGAAACATGCCAATCAACAGTATCGATGCAACAACACAAAACATTCCTAATTCTCTTAAATTCTCAATTTGATTTTCTCTCAAAATCACCGGTCTCTATTGGTATATAGGTTCCAGTGTAGATGTCTCTATATAACCTGTATTTTCAACTTAGATATTAGTGATGAATAGTAGCTAGCGGTGGAATCCAAGCAGCGCTCATTGGGAGGAAGGTACATCCATCTGACGAATACTAAATAGGACAAAAAGTGGGTCTTCAATCCCACTGTTACCCACTTTCCATCATTAAGATGCAGAACGATTACAAGATCTCAACTTTTCAACTGTTTGAATAATAAAATGATATCCATCAGAGCAGAATAAAAGAAAACATTAGAATGATATGTGAATGTATGAAATAAGTGAATATTGTAGGAAAAATCATTCTCGTTTTCAAGAAAAATACACTCTGAATTCATTTGTAACGGTGACATGTTCTAGCTAAAAAATTAAAATTCTCCGAAAAGTTCTTCATTAAATAGACATCTCAGCAGTACTTAAGACGGCTGGCACAAATTAAGTGAATGAATACCACTTTAAGATCCATAAATCCATAAAAACCTCCATACTAAATAAGTGTCGAGTCATTTGAAGTGAGATTTTCGAAATTTTTACTGCGAAATTGTGTCTAGTAAGGCAAATCAAGTCGAACATGAAGAAAAATATTCAAGGATATTATTGAATAATGGTTAAAAAAAAAGTGAATGGACAGAATTAGGAAACTACAGACCATTGGGTCTTACTCTAGTGACTGAATGATTGACATGTTTGCCATCAGAACTGACAGTCCTGGGTTCGATCCATGGTGGGGTTATTGGTGTTCACTGCTGAAAAGTCCTTCATTATAAGGAAATAGATGTCCAGTGCTCCCAGATTTATGGTGGTTTAACAATCGAATTCAGTCGGTGATGAGTATCATCTTGAAGTCAATCACTTTCCTAGAAACCTTAGAAAGGAAATAATTGGATAAATGTGTTGTATTTTGTTAGAAAAATCCTTTTGCATTATTGTACATGAGAGTCTATGCTACTATTCAGTTTCAAAGATTAAAATAAGTTTAGAGGGGTTTGATATACAACTCACTTCTTCAATGTAATTTGGTTAGGTTAATGGACTCATTTTGTTTATTGTTTCATAAGGTCTTATAACAATAAAAATAGTCACTTTATTCAAGGCAATAGTTTTTATTACAGTGTCGAATTCTAGGTGTAATATTTCAACCAATTTATTTCTTGCGGAAGATTTTCAAAATAAATAAGCATCGCAGTTAAATAATGTTAATAATAACAGTGTGATAACCTCATCTGGTTTACTAGTCAACTAGTTACTGGCCGATCCCATGCCCGGATAAAGAGCGAAGGTTACGCATACAGCTAGCAATCCTAACCTGTAAAACCAATCCATTCGCTAAACAAACTTCAAAGCACAAAGAAAATATAAAATTATAAAAACAAACTTATCCCTCGCTGCAATCGCAAGTGAAGACAACAGTAAGAAAAGGCTGCCACCTACCATCACCAATCATCTTCCTGATTGTCGTCAACCGGATCATTCAGCAAACCCTGAGGAGTGAGAAGAGGGACATACTCTGGCTGGACTGATAAAAAGACCCTAGAAGATGATCTGGATTTTGCGGATGACAGTTTATGTCAGATATCTTGTAGCACACACTCGAAAATCTACAGGCGAAAACTAACAACTTGGTAGAAGAGGCAGGACAATGTAGACGGGACTTCCTTCAAGCGAACGTAGAGAAGACAGAGGTAGAGGTGATTGGGAAACCCAACCAACAACAACGAGCATCAATCACCATCAACGGGAGAAACCTAAAGGAGATAGTCTCTTTCACCCACCTGACTACCCACCTACCTACCTACCTAGGCAGCATCGTTTCAACTACAGGCGGCGGTGGCACAGACGACGATGTCAAGGGCACGATCGGGAAAACAAGATAGACCTTCATTAATCTGAAGTCAGTGTGGAGATCTTCTGCACTCAGCATAAAGCGTGAACAACATCCGCATTTTCAACAGTAATTCAGTCAAGTAAGTCAGTGCTTGAATGTGATTGCTGAGAAACTTGGCGGAGCGTTACGAAAAATATTTTCAACAAACTGCAGACACTCATCAACAGCTGTCGTCTACGCTCACTCGATAGTGAAGATCAGATCGAATGGTCAGAATAATAAGAATAAACAAGGAGGAACTCTAGGAGCGAGACAGTCAAGAACCCATTACCCAACAAATATGCAGAGGAGGAAGGTGGAGATGGATTGGATTGGACATACACTGAGAAGACCATTGGGAGACATCATGTATCAGGCCAGGTCAGACCCTTGAGTGGAAGCCAAATGGGAAAGGAAGAGTTGGGTGTCCGAGCGAAAAATGAAATAAATAAATAATAATAACAGTATGATGAGCTATGAAACACAACGACCAGTTGTTCCTAGGTTATCGTCTAGTTTGTGGGTATGTTGTTGCATGAATAGACAGACAGAAAATCACTCATAGCTTTATTGGTGGAAGATTATTCAGTCTGCATAAAAATTTCCAGTTCTTATTGACCATCCCTGTAGTAGTTATGTGATAAATTGTTGTGATCTCAATAGCCCACCACCATCTACCGCGATCTGTTTTGTAATTTTGTTGTTGATGATTAGTTGTAGACATTTAGAGAATGCGCCAGAGTACATTTCATGGTCTATTGACATTCGAATAATTAAAACACGTAAAAAGGAGTAATTTGGTGTGATATATATGACAGAACGGTTTTACTAGCGTAAAATTTAAAGCAGGCCGCCATTAATGAAAGTGATCTCAGCATACATTCAGTAATATTTAAACTCTTGATCCAAAATTTATTAAGAAAGCTTCTGATATTACATGACCATCGAATGCGTAGCGTTACATGCAGAATAGATATATCTACTCAACCGATAAAATTATATATTATTTCCAAGTATTGACATACGGTAATTAAACAACTCCACATAATTTCGACTACATTATTTATAAACCAAAAATAACTTAAAATCCACGAGATTGTAAATTTCCTCAAGTCAGGTTTAAACAAGAACACTGTACTCCAGTTGTTGCTTCTCAATATTTCACAACTATTCTAGCTTCCAAGTATACGTACCATCTAACCACCTAATCTCTGAATGATAGTATCTCAACAACTTCATTAAAGGAATGAATTTCTCTTCTCATCGGCATATATTTTGAATATCAATACTGAGACCAATAAAGTAAGATTGTGTTATCCTAACAGACATACATAAACAGCTGCCACCTATGCGCACTCCATACTGAAAATCAATCAGACAGATAGAATAATATGAACAAACAACAAGGAACTCTGGCTGACTGACTGACTGACTGCAACGAACCAACCAACCAACAACCTATCACCCAACGAATATCTAGAAGAAAGTGGAGATGGATTGGATTGGATTGGACATTCATTGAGAAGACGGTTTGGGGACACCACGCATCACGCATCAGGCCAGGACAAGCCAGGTCCTCGAGTGGGATCCAAAGGGGGAAGGACGAGTTGGATGTCCGAGGGTGACATGCAGGAGATCATGTGAGAAAGAAATGAAAGTTTTTGAGCAGTAGTGGAGCCAAGTTAAAGAGACTGTAGAGAAGAGAGTGGAATGGTGACGTGCTATTGAAGCCCTATGTTCCACTAGGACCCCAAGATACAAATAAAATAAGATAATAAATTCTAACAGTTCATCAAATTATCACATAAACTTACTTTTGGTTCTAAATGTCCAACCATTGATAATAGTGGCTGAAATTCTTCAACTTCGACTCGGCATACTTGACCTTTCTGAGCACGAGGTAAAATTGGTAAATGTTCGTGTAACAGTGGTGCTGAATATCCTCTCCATACATGTAAATTTTGTCTAACTATGTCATTACGCAATAAACTATATCCATTTGAAGTGGGTGAATCATTGAGCATAAATTGGTCATGCTTTGATGATGCAAGACGTTTACTAGGATTACTACTAGTAGAAATATTGTAAGTAGTATTTTCGTCTCGCTGATAATATTTCACAGTAGAGCATAACTGAACATAACATACACTTAAGTATGCCAAATAGATGATAGCGAATTTCATTGTGGATTTACTATTCATAATTTTTATGAGTATTATGATAAAGTAAACACAAAATATCAATCAAATACCGAATAATTAGTCAGTCCAATGTATGACATTACATGAGAAAGTGTTCTGCAGAAATGAATTTCAAGTATTTTTAGGTCATGTAAATTATATAAGGATTTCAGTGAACCCTTATTTACACAATTATCATAAGCCTAACCAATGAGGTTATTTGTGTTATGTTAGCCAATAACACTAGTCGGAATAAAATGTGGTGAATTTTCACTCTTCATATTGTGCAGGTTGATAAACTAACTTCATTATGATTTGACTATCTAAGATAGCCATAATTTCGCAGACTAGTATTTGTACTGTGTGATTGAAGGTGAGATAAAAATCTGGACTACGGCCGGAGTTCAGTAAAACAAAAATAAGAGTTACTATTAGCCTGTGGTTTTCTCAGTTCATAACTAAGGAGAACTTAGTAAGTTTGAAAGTAATAGATTAGTAGAAAGTCATTGTATTCCATGTTAAGGTGATTTTACTCGGTCTCATAACGGTTTCTAAACAAAGAAATCTCTTTTTAATTTCCAGGAACTTTGCTAAAAATTGAAATGCAATGAAAAAGTGCCTCTAGTTAATTCAATGGATATATGGCTAGTGAAATAAACGCATTCAGTATATGGGACCTAGTAAGGATATAATTCCATTTAAACTGATTTATTAGTTGTATTACACAGTGAAGCAATGATACTATTTACTGTATTACCTTTCAGATACCATTTGTTGTCCATCGTTAAATCAAGATAACTGCACAGCTTCGACACATGGGTTATATAGTTGAGATCCTCTCGCCTCGTGACTGATATAGATAGTAGGACTTCTATGTATTCGGTGCTGACTCTTTCCTTCTGTACTTATTAGGTGCTGATTCGATCAACCGTCTGCCACATCCTATTGCGTGGTTGTTTGCAGTTGCAAACATTGTTATGGTCAAACTATATTCTAGATTGCTTATCCTCCTAAGATTAACCAACTGTGTTCTAGCAAACGTTTTGTGACCCGACAGTCTTACCAACCCACATTGAAAACTGTGATGTATGTACTTCACCTCCTAATCAATGCAAACGATTTCGCACACCAATCTACTCAACCCCGTTCAAGCAACAGGATCCTCCAAAGTACACACTACAACCGCATTCATTGACAATACCATCTAATGTCTCTCATGTGATATATGCATATAACTATGAGCAACAAACCTCGCCAGAAACATATTCTCATCAATAACACTCTTACATCACTGTGTGATACATCAAATAAAATCGAATTACATCCTCCCAACAGTGCACAAATTCTACTCTCATTATACACACCAGCTTCTTCACAATACACCGAGAACCAAATAGCTGGTGAGAAGAAATGAAGGGAAAACACCAAGTTGGATTGGAAAGATTCCACTAAGTAGATATTAGAGGCTACGTGAGAAATGCGAATAATGAGATGTAGGGAGGAATGTCAGTAACGATATTTTGTACGTGAGATATACTGCACTCTCCTTCAAAATAGTCATTTACACAATCTGTTTCATTCCCTCCTCCTCTTCCATCTCCATCTGCTCTTCACACGCCCATATTGTCTCTTGTGTTTCTCTGGGCACAAGATTTATCTGTCACTCGTCATTACCTATGATGACCTGACGACCTCTCATTATATATATATATACACACATACTACTTATATCCACTCTGATCAGTAGTACCCACTACAGTAAGACATGAATACATCTACTCAAACGTCACATGTTTCCAACCGTAACATCAAGCACTCTTAACAACTGCTTCTCCTAAACACCACAGACAGAAAGACTTCATTTCCACATAAAACGGCTCAAAGATTACATGCATTAGTCCAATATTTCACTATAATCACCTCCGAAATTCCTTCACATTCTACTTCTAGTACTAGTGTGATGGATAGGTATTCATCAATTCCAAATATTTCTGAGACTGTAACAGTGCACAAATAAATTCACGTTTTCACTTTATACTATGTGCTTTATGTAGAAAATTATCGCTTATCGACTACCCTGCATACAAACTACAGAAGGGTTAGATTGTTAGTTTAGACGGGAAGAGAAAGATGGCATATTGATCAAACTGGAGGTAAACTCATGGAATCTCTTTGTGTCACATCCTTGTCCACTTAATTTTTTTCCAATTAAAATCGTAGATTATATTTGCAAACAATCATTAAAGACGAAATAATACATTGGCATTCCTACTATAAAATTGAAGGAACTATTTCCAAAATGTACAGTGAATATCCAATTCATCTTCAGCAGTAATCTCTACAGACAAGTTAGTGGAATGGCTATTTGACCTCCATTGGACACAAGATTTGTAAATAGACTTCCCAAAAATTTGAAAAATGGTCCTTCAAAAGATCAAATTATCAAAATGGAGGTGTACTGTCAATATACGGATGATGCTTTTCTAGTCTTTGCTAAGTCTGTATGTGTTTTATCTCTATTGTGAACCATTTCAATTGTACTCATCCGTCACTTCATCTTACAGGTGAAAATAAAATCAATGATTCGATGCATTTTCTTGATGTGCTAACGAACAAAAAGAAGATGGCTCTATACCAACGTCTAAGGCACAGTATACAAACTTTCTCAGCTTTGTCCTGATGAAGTTCAAACGTAATATAATCAAGTGCGTGGCATTAAGAGTTGGATTGATTTATTCCAAGAAGTGTGAGGAAAAGGAACTACTGTGCAATCGCGATATTTTAAGTGAAAACACATTTCTGGATAAGTTTATCAAAGTTATTATTAATGATGTTTGTCCTAAACGAGTAGTGTTTACGGTGTACAAATGTATTTTAAATTTATTGAAAAGAATATTCTTCGTTCACAGTGTTGGAATCTTTAACTAATTGAATACGTACTTAAACTTACTAGAAGTCTTGTTAAAGCAAAGTTTAGACTTCCGTTATGTCTTCGAAAACAATTTGTCTCTACATGAAACTTCCCTGACTAAATGCGCTTCAATGTCATGGTTGATTAAAATGTTATCCTGTTCTTCCCTACTAGACTAACAGTTATTCAACCCTTCTTTATCATGAAAGAAGCCAGTTTACAGGCATCATCAAATTGATAATGGTAGAGAAACCTTCATTATTTGAGCTGTCCTGAATGATACAGAAAGTATCACATCAGGGTTTATCATGATATGAGTAGTGACTGCCGGTTATGAAGAAAACAGAAAAATATCACTTCATAGTACATACAAATTGTGTAAAAGTTTCGGTTGTCTCCATTCACCATTCTTTTTTCACAATAAAATGATGCCGAAATCGTACAAGACTCGACGTTTGTGTTACATGTAACCAAGATGGTTAACCTGGCAGTATAGTTCCGTGTATCGTCAGATAAACGTTTATTTTAACATCAGTTCACATGTTAATGGTATCATTGACCAACGAATACTTACTTCATCGACTTCAGGTAACAGTAAATGTTTGCATAGCCATATAATCCACTTGAATATATAAGTCCTCGCATTTCCCACTCTTAGTGTGACCTTACACAGCAATACAGGTGTAATCCATCAGAATTAGTTGTTGATGTACAAAGAAATAAACATATGAAGGTCTATTATTCAACGGTGAAGGAGTTTTGCACACAGAGTTCACATTGCAGCATTCAGCATTCTCAAGGAGGTACGTCGACTGTTAACTGTCTTCTGTCAGACGGAGTTAAGTGAGATGAAGTACTGAAGAAGTTTGTTTGCGAACATGTTTCACTTTGAGTCACTAGGTGGGTTTATTTCTTAGATTTAGTTGTTTGTCCAGATTCTCGCTGTTATTATGACCGTGCAGAAGCCTTAGGTCATTTATTTTAGTTGAGTTTTACTACATGACAGGACCTAAAATGTTGATAACTGGGTGATTTTGCTGTGGAACTTTTCAGAAAGTTGAAAATCAATAGGAGAAAACCAGTTGACGAATGCTTCCAATAGTCTGTGGTGTCAAGTAGGAAGTAGTATATTCAGTAAGTTGACATTTTCAGTCAAAATTATGCTGAAGATTTTCTCTTCAGACTTAATCAAAAAAGAGCAGAAAAAGAAGGAAAGCACGAGCAGAAACCGGAGAGTGATATACCACACAAGACGAAATTGGAAAGAGGGAAATTCTCATCTGCTTAGAGACACTCGAGGTACAGGTACACTTTAATTTATGCATATAAAAATAACTTATATTGGTCATTTTTCAAAACTCATTTTATCCTTTGTATATTCCATATGTTTTCAAAGAGAATAAACAAAGGAAAGAATGGGCTGACCACTTCAAAAAACTCTTGAGTCGACCACCAACTGTTACTCATCCAGAAATACCACCAGCAACGGCAGAACTACCATTGAACACAGGCCCTCCAACAAAAGCAGAAGTCCTGAATGCCATATAAAGGTTGAAATTTGAGCAAACAGCAGGACCAATTAAAAGTATGTGGGCAGTGATGGAGCCAGGTTCAAAAGACTGCAGAGAAAAGAGTGCAATGGAGGCGTGCTACTGAAGCCGTATGTTCCCCTAGGAACCCAAGAGGAAAATAATATAATAATATGTTGCATATAAATATGCATAAAATGCGAATGAGTATGCGTGAACAAATTGTTCTAGTTGTATTGCACTATCACATCTCATCACATTTGCGATCAAATAAGTTTTCTTGTTGCTTCTTTAAAAAAAACACTTGCCATATGCTAATTGACTATTAAATAACGTCATGATACTTTGTTGACTTTGTATCTAGTAGGCAGTAATATATAGCTTTTACTATCATATTTGCATTATGTAGGGACTCTCTCTAAAGATCTCTTTTGCTGGACAAGCTAACCGGGACAATTACTAAAAGCTGGATAGTCAGCTGGCTGGATCCACATTCCTCTAAAAGGAAATAACATAGTGTTTACAGAAGGAAGCGCCCCACCTCATTGCTTACTGTGGCTGGAGTTCCTCAAACAGCCATCCTTTCCCCATGTTTTTTCTCATTCTTTCTGCATGATCTACCATCATCAGCTGGTACCAATTTCATCAAGTATGCTGATGACCTAACAGTTTCCATACCTATCTCCTTTTCAGCAGATTTCTTCCATGTGAATGATTTCTTATCTAATGTTAGACGATGGTCCTCCGAGAATGGTCTTATGCTAAATTCTTCAAAATATAAGACCATAAACTTTAGTTTTAGACCTGAACATAACCTATGTAAACTGCTTAGTTCTCGTTATTCCTGTTCTGTTGACAGTTGTGCAGTAGAGGATGTTACAAATGTGATTTGTCCTGAAGTGTGTTTTTCTTTGGACCTTTGCTGATCTTCCCATATCTCACTAATTTCCAAAAATCATTTTTCGTCTAACTTTCTATATTAGGCAGCTGAGAGTATCTGCTATTACTCAGCCTCTTCTCTTATGTTTTATAAACTCCAGCATCTCGCCTGTCCTCCTCTATTACCCCCTTTATTTTTTCCTGGGTTGCTGAAAAAAGACAGTGATATATTGTATAGAGCTTTGAAGATTGTTAGTAGAACTAGTGATGTACTGCTAAACATTCTAGCTAAAACCATTATGAACAAACATATTAACTCATGTACACATCTGGCGGGAGTTATTTTATCAGATGACCAACATCTTCAATCGAAGCTTTACATGTCTTGATCATCTGGAAAGAGGAATAGCAATTTCATAAGACTTTATGCATGTACTAAAAAATATATAAACTCTACGATAATGTATTTAGGTGGTCTTCTGTGCCATGAAAAATGTATTAGAAATGAACTAACGGATAAATTTCTGTTTTTCAAAAGAAAACTAACTGAAGATGAGCGTATTACTTTTTATGCAATAAGAATGTAATTGCTAGTGTGATTGTATACCTAAATTGACTGTGGATTTTGAAGAAATTTGTAGATAAAGCGAACATTTTTATCTTTTCTTCATGTAATTTCTACTTATGTTCATTTTGCTATGTATAAATATACACTGTCTCTATCCAACTGATGTTATATCGCGTGCTGAAAAATTTGTAGAGTATTCCCGGAGGTATATTTCAGAATAAAGTCATTATCATCATTATTATTATTATCAAATGGTGATTACCACTACAGGTTGAAAGTTTTTACTCCATAATACCTTCAAGTCTATAGTTTGTGTGGAGGGTAGTCGATAAGCGATAATTTTCTACATAAAGCACACAGTATAAGGTGAACATGTGAATTTATTTGTGCACTGTTACAGTCTCAGAAATATTTGGAATTGATGAATACCTATCCATCACACTAGTACTAGAAGTAGAATGTGAAGGAATTTCGGAGGTGATTATAGTGAAATATTGGACTAATGCATGTAATCTTTGAGCCGTTTTATGTGGAAATGAAGTCTTTCTGTCTGTGGTGTTTAGGAGAAGCAGTTGTTAAGAGTGCTTGATGTTACGGTTGGAAACATGTGACGTTTGAGTAGATGTATTCATGTCTTACTGTAGTGGGTACTACTGATCAGAGTGGATATAAGTAGTATGTGTGTATATATATATATAATGAGAGGTCGTCAGGTCATCATAGGTAATGACGAGTGACAGATAAATCTTGTGCCCAGAGAAACACAAGAGACAATATGGGCGTGTGAAGAGCAGATGGAGATGGAAGAGGAGGAGGGAATGAAACAGATTGTGTAAATGACTATTTTGAAGGAGAGTGCAGTATATCTCACAAAATGTCATTACTGACATTCCTCCCTACATCTCATTATTCGCATTCTCACGTAGCCTCTAATATCTACTTAGTGGAATCTTTCCAATCCAACTTGGTGTTTTCCCTTCATTTCTTCTCACCAGCTATTTGGTTCTCGGTGTATTGTGAAGAAGCTGGTGTGTATAATGAGAGTAGAATTTGTGCACTGTTGGGAGGATGTAATTCGATTTTATTTGATGTATCACACAGTGATGTAAGAGTGTTATTGATGAGAATATGTTTCTGGCGAGGTTTGTTGCTCATAGTTATATGCATATATCACATGAGAGACATTAGATGGTATTGTCAATGAATGCGGTTGTAGTGTGTACTTTGGAGGATCCTGTTGCTTGAATGAATCAGGATAATTTCGTTTATTAGTTACGACATCATTTAGATGTTTCTCAATCCTTCAGGATAATCATCAAACAAAGAACGCCATGTTTATTATGATTTCTGGAAGCTTTCGTCATCAAACATTTTCAACCTGACCTAAGTACTTAAAAGAGACTCTAATTAACCTTTCTTTACCTTGATAGTTGAAAATAAATTTCGGCATATGTATGTATATTGTCTTCCCCTTTCCTTTGGTTGCATCATCTCTTCATCAATTACTTACTGACCGTTACTCACTTAACGATCTTCCTGTTTTCCATGCAATTTCTTAACCTATTCGCTCTTAAACGATCCCTTCTTTTACACTGATATTTGTTTGTCGTGTCCTACACCACCACCGCCATCACCAATCAACAGCTTCAGAGTTTTCTATCTCATTAGACATAAAATGTCATTGGTTTTGACTGAGATATGTGACTATTAATCCTATGTTTGCTTGAATCACTCACCACCTCATTATTAATCCTCGATTTCAAGTCTCCATTTATTCCTACGTATTTGAAGCATGTTATGCCATTATTTCCAGTAATACTTCATTTCAATTGAAGACTGTTTGCATCTGATGAATGGCCGTAAAATAAGATGAGCTCATTTTACTCTACAAATGTCTTTGTTCTTGCATGTTTCAAATGCCTATTTACGGGTGAAAATTCATTTAGCTATTTTCTTTACTTGAAGCTCTTTTACTGGGCATACCATGTCTTGCCCCATCGTTGAAAACCTCACGAGCTTCAGATATCGGACTCCTCAAGAGGCCTCGTTTATAGTTCTCCACAAAGTTTGACCAAACGGGCTAAAAGGGATGAGGACAAGACACTTATGTACAACCGAAGCTTTAGCAATTCAATGTTTCAAACCTCAACTGTATGTGTAAATATTGCTTTTACCTTGGCCTTAAGCAGTTACTGTGCACCTGTATCCATTATTGTTTTACTCTGATATTTACAAATGTAAAGCTGTAAAAATGAGACATCGGAAAGATTGTCACCTTCATCGTAACTTCCCTTTGTTTTTTATATCAGATTCCTTATCGACTGGATACCTTATGTGGACACTAGTGACATGGCTCTATGAAACCCTAAAACAAATGCTAAATCCTAGAGTTACAAGGTATCTCTGTGTTGAGGCTTTGGTTTAGCTTCTAAAAAAACAGTTACCAGATGGTGAGAAAGTTAGCTGTCAAGTTTAAAGTTCTCAGTACTGTTAGCAGTTTTATAAGCAATGTTTGCAATGTGGTAGTTCGGTTAAATGACAAAATACTTATGCAGCATATATTTGTGCTCGATGTTAGCAGCTAGTTAGCGAGAAATCTTGGATTTAAGTTTCATACTCATTGGTACTAATCATTAAAACAGATATGCTTTCTCAAAGAGGCGCATACCCCGTTGATATTCGAAATCACATCCCTGACTTATGATTCAACAGCAAGAGTGGTCAACTCATGTGCATACTTCATTCCTACGGGAAATTCTCCATGAGCTAACAATTTCATCTGTGGGGTCTCTTTTTTCAGCACTGTGTGATCTCTCAAGGGATAAAAGTTTCTCCAAGACAACCGATTCACCTAGCTGTTGAGATAGAAGAAGAAACCCATAACCTAGGTTTATGGATTCCTTCTAATTCCCTACTGACAGTACTTCATTTCATTTACTTCATGACACATTGTGATAAGTCTTCAAAACAACTAGTTATGGCGTTTCCAAGTGATTAAAAATGAAGGATTCCATTTTGATGACATCGATTAAGAAGAGGAGTTCTGATTTTCATAGTAAGAATGAATAAATAAAATTATATGCCATATTTTCGGAAGTTTGATGAATCTTCTATATTCTTGGCATGCCCAGAGTAAAGATAGTAAAACTTCTAGTAATAAACTGAGATAAGGCTGATAAACTCTAATTCTGGATCCTAATTAGTTTAACGATTCCTGGTAAGTTGTAGAAGGAATAAATTGGGGTAAATGGATCCCTTTTTGGTGCTACCATTAAATCCAGAATCTAAATATAATCTTCCGTTCTTAAGGATGTATTTCCATCCATTCTTCTTTGTGTTCAGTCAGTTGGTTGAAACGATAACCTATTTTATAGATGATTTTAGAAGATAAATCGTATTTATTTTGTTTAAAAGATGGTTTATTTTGACAAAAAAATGTAGTTTTTTCTCAGGTTCTTTGAAAATATCTTATGTTGCCAATTTACTGAACTAATCTCATTGGCTTTAGTTACTGGTATTTGCAACAGTAATTATCAGGATTTACTTTCGAACTGAAATATTCTAATCTGCAATTGGCTCATCGTATTCAGGTTAAGTTCAGGTTAATTTCTATGCTCCTAATCAAAAATAGTACTTAAAACAATTGTTAGTAGTAAATGGTTTTATTTACAAATAAATCGGTAAATAAATTTTACATAGTTGTTTCTTGGATAAAGAATTGTCATCATAACTAGAAGTAAATCAGTTATAATGTATAAATAAAAATTAGTATGAAGTTGATAAACGCTAGATTGAGAAGTGAGAAACTATTTAATTCACTTGCAATACCTTGACGACATCGTAATAATTCATAACGATTAGGTTTACCAGCCAACATTAGTTGATATTCACGTTCCATCATCTCACCATGAAAATACCATGTACGATCATTGAGAGGATATTCAAAACCTTGACGACATTCACACTTGTAACTACCCGATACAAAATAATGCCTTGGGATTAATTTACACTATAGGTATGTATATATATACATATACAGGGAGAATGACCGGAGAAAAAAGAGTCAGGGAATTGAAAATAAATAACATGTTATGGTTGTAAATAAATATATCAATGATTAACCAGTTAGTTCATGATAATGTAAGCCGAGATTACAGTTTTATAATGTATCGGACATGTAATTCAGGCTGATTTCATTCAATTAGTATTAAAGATGCACGGTTTTCTAGGAACTGGACTTTTCTGGATACCTAGCTGAAAAAATTAGCTCTTAATGAACGAATGGACTGTTATCTTGCTGATGATAACTGTAATTATGAATGATTGGCTTCTGATCGTTTTCTTTGTTCCGTAGCATCCAATTTTAGGTTGTTATACATTTTTCTTTGAACAGAAGATCACTACAGCTTATCTACCAGGTAGATGGGTGAAATTAAAATCTGAGTAGCTGCGGTATTTAAACCAGTAACCACCGTATTACCAACCGAGTGCTCTACTAAATCGGCTACGAAACGTGAATCTTGATCAAGTCTTAGTTTTACATCAATCACAAGGGGTTATAACTGACCATCAGATGAAGTTATGGAGGGTTCTTTTTGCCTGATCGTATTCATATTGGCTTCCGACTAGCTAGGACTCCTAATCTCAATGGAAATCAACCTGAATTATAGAGAAGGGGAATTCTGTTGGTTATCATTTTGGCTATCTGAATCCTGAAGTGGTTCAGATTTTCAATTCTTTTCCAATCATCAACAGTTATCAGTAATACAGGTCTATCAAACCATGGCTATATCAGATAATCAAAGTGGTAACAAACTAGCTTTTAATGTATCATTCATCAAAAACTGATATTAGTTGCAGAGAAAACAAACTCTCCATTAACCTCGAGATATATCACTGTGTAGTGCTCATTAGTGACATGTTTCCAGATGGATATTTTGAAGTTCTAATGAGAAGCCGTGACCTGAGCTGTTAACCAGTCGGAAGTTAAGTGGATGCCAACTGAATGATAGCCATGTTAGATCACAAACTGACAGAAATAAATAGCTGAGGACCAATGAATGCCAACCCTCAGGCTGAATGGTTAACGTGTTTCTCATGAAACTTGAAGGTTTTGGTTTCCATTGGTAAATGGGTAGTGGGTGAGCACTACTGAAGAGTACTGTACTAGAATGAAACAGCTGTTGAATGCTACCATGTTTTCTATTGTTCTCTAATTAATATCAGTCCATGCTGAATGTCAAATTAGAAATAAATTCCCCATTAACCTCAAAATACAATAAACTCATTGTAAAATGTCTATTTAACCTAGCCTGGTTTACTAGTTAACTAGTTAATGGCTGGTCCTAAGCCCGGATAAAGAGCGAAGGGTGGATGTACAGCTAGCAATCCTACCCTGTAAAACCAATCCATTCGCTAAAGAAACTTCAAAACACAAAAAACATATAAAAAAATAAAAACAAACATCCCTCTCTGCAATCGGAAGTGAAGACAGGAGTAAGAAAAGGCTGCCACCTACCATCACCAATCATCTTCCTGATTGTCGTCCACCGGATCATTCAGCAAACCCTGAGGAGTGAGAAGAGGGACATACTCTGGCTGGACTGATGAAAAGACCCTAGATGATCTGGATTTTGCGGATGACAGTTTATGTCAGATACCTTGTAGCACACACTCGAAAATCTACAGGCGAAAACTAACAACTTGGTAGAAGAGGCAGGACAATGTAGACGGGACTTCCTTCAAGCGAACGTAGAGAAGACAGAGGTAGAGGTGATTGGGAAACCCAACCAACAACAACGAGCATCAATCACCATCAACGGGAGAAACCTAAAGGAGATAGTCTCTTTCACCCACCTACCTAGACAGTATCGTCTCAACCACCGGCGACACGGGCACAGATGAGGACGTCAAAGTCAGGATCAGAAAGACAGCAAGACAGACGCCCATCAACCTGAAACCAGTGTGGAGATCTACTGCACTCAGCATAAAACGTGAACAAGAGCCGGATTTTCAACACTAATGTCAGACAAGTCGGTCAGTGATTCTATGTGATGGTTGAAAGACTTGGCACGTCACGAAAAACATTTCAGACAAACTACAGACATACGTCTCCAACAGCTGCCTACGCTCACTCGATAGTGAAAATCAGATCGGATTGCCAGAATAATAAGAATAAGCAACAAGGAACTCTTGGAGTGAGGCGACCAAGAACCCATTGCCCAACAAATATGCAGAGGAAGAAGGCGGAGATGGATTGAACTGGACTGGATATTCACTGAGAAGACCGTTTGGAGACATCATGCATCAGGCCCCCGAGTGCAACCCGCATGGGAAACGATGAGTTGGGTGTCCGAGGTGAGGGTGACATTGAGGCGATGGTATGAGCAAGAAATGAAAGCTTGTTGGCAGTTGTGGAGTCAGGTTGAAAGTGAAGACTGGAGAGAACAGCGTGTAATAATGACGTCTTACTGAATCCCTATGTTCCACTAGGAATCCAAGGGACAAACAATAATAATGAAAATTTCTTTTTCCTATGTGAACTATTTTCAAGCTAATAAAAGATATATGCGATTATGTAATAAATGACAAAACGATTCACAGTTATAAAATCTGTAGAAACTTACAGAATATATGTACTATGAAAGAAAATAGAAAAAAACACTGGAAAACAACAATATAACTTACATATGTACTTCGAAAATCACATCTTGCCGTATTTTTAAAAAAATTTGGTGTATAAAAGGATTGTGGACATTGATTTATATCCAATGACAATAGTTTCACCGAAGCGGTTACAACACCCCTTGATAAAGACATTATTATTAATAATAATATGGTTATTATTATTTGAAGAGTCAATGAAGGAATCGACAAACGTTAATATTTAACAATGAAAACCATTTTAATTTTCGTGAATAATAAATAAGGACGGTTTCAGTGTAGGAAAATTGTGTATTATTTGGTTCCGCTACACTTGGACCTACAATAAATGAGAGTAATGAATCATCTCGCTACAGTAATTAATCACTTTCATTTGTCTATACTTTAATTAATTCATTTTATCTCTTAAAAGTCTGTTATATATCATTTTTGATGTTTCGCCCTAGCAGTGTTCATCCACGACCTCACCCCGCCAGGGGTCGAACTCGGGATCTTCAGTTTTCATGGCCAACACAATAACATTGAGCCAGTGGGTCTCAATCCAATTCTCCGTACTTCCAACTTCTATCACTTTAAGACTTAGCACATTGATAAACAGCTGGTTGAGGAACCTGAAGGTCCTGTGTTCGACCCCCGGTGCCAATTGCTGTGGAGCTCTATAACAGGACTAAACAGCTGTCCAGTGGCTCGCAGGTTTCCATTGTTCCTCCGACTGATATCAATCCACGATGAATACCAACTTGAAATATATAAATCCCCATAAACTCATAAATTGGATTATATATTCACCACTTTGGACTATCAATAAAGTCCAATCCCTGTTTGCACCTAAACATGAATGACTTCTGTTGTTATTTGGCTACAATAAGAGACAGAAAAAAGCAGGGCAACCTGACTGAAACAGTACTCGTTCAATGATATGGCAGCTTCTTGATAACTTACAGAATACAGTATTGGAAATGTCGTACCAGAAGCCTCACTTCTATTATAAATTATTAAATACCCAACTGCCTATTTAAGTAGGACCTTTAGTCAGATATTTTAAAAAAAATATTCTATAAGTAAAGTTGGCTATAGCTTTTGAGTAATAAATGGATATATATAAACACTTGTATTCAGATTCAGATCATATTTGTTTTAAACAAGCGCCGAAAATGAGTAGTTTACATCTTTTTCAATGAATGCTGTTTTTTAAAGACGATTGTCAACTTGATGTGACCATAGGAGTGTAGCTTGAAGTAAAAACTCATACTTATTCTTGCAAACTAATAACAGAACACAGTGTTTTTTAAACATACAATGCAATACGTATATAGTAGTGTTGAGTTTATAGAAGTCTATGAGACCTTTTGTTTTAATGAAATTCAAGTGTTATGTAAGATGTAAGAGATTTTTAGTATTTTTGTCTACTGCATAGATCTAATTTGGTTACAATCTTCATATAAGACTTTTTTTATTGGGGATTTCTATCATAACAGATAGAAAAAGTGCTTCAAATCCACTGATAAGAATAAAATAACCGCTTATTTTGATGGGATTGAGTTCTTTGATCTGACCTGTTTACTCATGAAGCTTTCATTGTCATTCTGGACAACATCATCAGCAAAAACTTAAGAAAGAAGTAAGCAATAAGGCTTTCAATACCATTTAATTTAGTAGGTTGTTCTGATCGTTTTGTATGTGATTGGTTGCTTCTGCCAAGATTTTCTCGTTGTCCTCATGTTTATTTTGATTGGTTGTCCTGATGACCTGTAATCTGACCTTCTTCTTGTTTCGTATCGGTTGATAGACTGGGTCAATGTCAATGTGTCTGTTGATTGTTGACTGACTTGAATACTAAGCTTCTAAAAATTCTCTGTTGTTCTTTGCATTTACTCTATCCAAGATTTTTGCATTGTACCAGTCAAATTCATGTTCTCCGTTGTATGTATCCACTGATATGAGCGAAGATATGTCATGATGTTTCATCGCTAGTTCATGTTCATGTAGACGGATACCAACAGGGTGACCACTTTGTTCGATGCAGTGTTTTTCACAGTTTATTTTGTAGATAATGTTTGTTGTCTTACTTTGTTATTGTAACTTTTGCCCTACATAATAGAGACTGAAGTGATTCTATAGGCTTGTGAGATACAACGATTCGAAAAAGCTTCAATAATCTAGTTGTCATCTCCAAGACATGCTTCATGTAGTGTAGGACAACCTGTTTGTTAGTTTTTGAGATTGATTTCTTGGTTGATGATGAATTATGTAAATATCTCTTGATGAAGTTGCGTAGATAGTCCTTTTTCTGGAAAATAGTCATTAAATAGTTTTCATCTTTTCTCCGCAGGTTTGATGTACTACAGTGTGCCTTCATTATTTGAACAATATTTTTATACAACCGATATTGTGTGTTGTTGGATTGTTGCTATTGTATTAATATAGGTTTAAAATATGGGCACTGTGGTAGAATATAATTCCACATTAGATCTATTTATTTCATTCATAACATACAGTGAGTCATACAGTTTTATTTACTTCATGACGCTTCCAGCATAAATTATCATTGCTCATAGTTACATCAAGGTAATCACACACTCCTGTCACCTCATATGAGTGTTTTTCTTATTGGTAGTAAAAATTTCCATATCTCTGGTATAGATGTTCCGTCATTTATGCTACTTGTGTTGAATGTTGGTTGATTTGATGAACAAACATTCAGTAATCGATCTCTATCTCCACTCATTTATATTGGATTTAAGTACAGTGGTGGAAAAACAAGACAGGCTTTCACTAATCCAAAGCCAGTGTGGAGGTCTACTGCACTCAGCACAAAGAACAAGATCCAAATTTTCAACACCAGTGTCAATTCAGTGCTTCTATATGGTTCAGAAACTTGGCGTGTCACGAAAAGCATTTTCAACAAACTACACACATTCATCAACAGCTTCCTACGCTCACTCGATACTAAAGATCAGATGGCCAGAATAATAAGTATAAGCAACAAGGAAACGACGATATGGGCGTCCTAGCCGAGGGTGATATGGACGAGATCATATGAGGAAGAAATGAAAGCTTGTGGGTAGTCGTGGCGTCAGGTTGAAAAGATAGCAGAGAAGAGAGTTCAATGGAGGCATGCTACTGAAGCTGTATGTTCTACCAGGAACCCAAGGGAAAAATAATATTATGATAATAAGTACAGTGGTTTCATCCCACCAAGGCTATTGTGTGGTTGTGTGTTGATGTACGCAATGCATTGCAATAGCCAAGGTTCTCTTCTAACTTATTGATCTTATTGAGGTCTGTCATTCTATATTTAGATAAATTCCTATGTTCGGCTATTCTAACTGACCCCGACTGGTTGACTAGTTCGATCTACAGACTTCACCTGACTCACAGTCATTACATGCAACTTGATAGATTATATTATTTTGCCTAATTGGTTCTATCGGATCCTTAAGTCACCCGACAAAGCTTATCTCTGAGTCAGTTTTTAGGTTTAAACGCCACCCTACTTTCAGCTTAGTTGAGAACAAATAAATCTAATATGTTGCTATTGTAGTTAAGGATTCAGTCTACATGAGTTGCTTTTCTGTATACTTCAGTTCCCGATTTTCTTGAATCCCTTCTAGTGACCAAAGCATCTAAAAATGCAAGTTTGTTATTGAATTCCTCTTCAATTATGAATTTGATGTCATTGAAAATGTTGTTGATTAATTTGTAAGCGTTTTGCAATTCGTTTGTTTTAATGATGATAAACGTGTCATCTATATATCGGTTCTAAAGTTTTGGTTTGATCAATAGCAATACCACAGTTTCCAGTCTTCGTATTACTGATTCTGCAGTTAGTCCTGATATAGGCGTTCTCATATGGGTTCCCTTTGTTTGTAGAGTTTGCCATTAAGGTGATAATATGTAACAAGGCATAAATCAATTAATTCCATCAAACTTGAACATTGTAGCTGTCTGTGTTCCAAGAGGTGTGTATCATTGTTGAGGAGAAAAGCTAGTGTTCAGTTGAGATGTATAGAGCTGTAACTTCGAAAGACACCATCAGTCAATGGTTGTCAATCTAAATATCCTTGATGTTTTCCAAAACTTGTGTCGAAAAGTTGATAGAATGATTTATAGAAGTGTCACCCTATCCCTTCAAACCTATTGTGTGATTAAGGGACAGTGCACGTAGAGCAATAGTTGAGTTTTTCTCTTAATTACTTATATTAGTAAGGTCTACCATTGTGTGTTCCGATAACTGTTTCTGCTGTGCTATTGTGAATGACTCAGATTGGCTACTTTATCCTAAATACTTGACCTCACTATTATCACAGGGTATTTGATTGACTAGGTCATTTTTCCTAATTGACTCAACTGGATCTTTTAGCCTACAAAGTTTCTCTCTAAGTTTGTGGGTTTAAGTACCACCTTAATTCCAGTACTGTTAAGAATTCTACGTGAAATTTCCCATTTACCTTTTTTATACGGCAATACCACAGAGGATCTGAATTCCCTTTTACCATGCTGCGCTCATCACTAGTACTATCACTTTTTCTCTTATTAGTCTTTATAAACCTTTTGATAAATTCCGGAGGGTAGTCATTAGGAACTACTGTCTCTGTGATCTTTTTCATTTCCGCATTTAGGCTTCCCGACCTACAAGTTAAACTCTTAGCCCGATTACTTGGACATTTTATCAAGCCCACTTCGACGGATATAGGGTGAGATGATGTGAACCTAAGTATCAGTTCTAATGTGCTGGTTTCCTATGAACACTGGTATCTAAGCTTTCACCTTTTCTCCTCTTGATTGATTTTGCAGTGCAACGTAGGTAAGTTTCCTTCGCCATTTTCTAGCTCATAAGTGAATTGGATTGCATCTACTATCGAGGTTATGTGTAGGAAAACATTTAAACAGATGACCTTGTGTTGCCTAATAAATGAATAGATGTTTACATAATACTGTTAATCAGAGAAAAATTGATATATAAAAGAATGTGAGGAATACAACCGATTATTTCTGTGAGCCTGGTAGGAAGCGAAAGTATACTTCCCTAAAGTACAGTCAGTATTAATTTGATCTTCAATAATGTTGGCATGATGAACTTTCAAGTGTTTTACGAATTGTACGCTCTACAACATGATATTTCCCACAGCGGTCTTTCAATCGCCTCAACTGTGATGTTAACAGGATTTCGCTTGAAAACTACTCGTTAGTCAAGATGATAATGTGTGATTTTTGATTCTGTAGATGATATTTGCTATGTCGTCTTTGGCTGTTACATCCTTTCGTCTGCATAAAGGTGTTTGAAAGGAATTTGTTGGTTTATGAGCCACAACAATTCCAAGTGATCTTCGTAATCTTATCATGATTTCTGAAATGCGCGGTAGGATGATGTATCTATTGATTTCTGTCGATGACGACAAAATCAACCGCAATAACTGTAGTCAATACTACATTAAAAAAGTGGTCGCTCTCTTCACCTTCGTCTACACGAACACAAATTGGCTATTAAACGTCACGACATTTTATCTCTCATTTGCATTCATATGGGTAACTATGGGCATGAATTCAGTCTTCACAGTGTAGAAATCTTGAACAGAGGAAACATAAAAAATATCACAGGATTCCTAGAAACTTGGCATTCACGCCAGCCAACAATCCACGGATACATAGACATACACCCAATCCATCAAACAATGAGATAAATGGTGAACGACAGAAAGGTTAGGGGTCAAGCAGAGGAACAGCCAACGGGGAAATCTATACAGTCAGTCAATAACACAACAATCAAGGGAAACAACCAATCACAAACCACTTTGTCAGGGCAAGCTACTAAATCACTCATGGAGAGATACTGACAGGTCACTTCATACTGAAGTTGGTGCTGATGATGTCGCTGTCTTGGAAGACGATGACAGCTTCACGATAAAACAACCCATCTCAGAGAACACATTACAACCAAGATTCTCTACATGAGCTACAAATATTCTCCATTATGTAAAGATGAATCACATCATTTCAGAGATATGCGCCAGACTTTGTGTTCTGTTGTAAGCGACTGGGAGTGTCGAATATTATGACTCATTGTAAAGGGTGGGGTGAGTATACAACACTAAATAAGCATGTACGAGACAAATCACGTGCAAAGCCAGTGTTAAGACTGGATCATTAGTATCATGTGCTCAAGACAACTGTAACCAGACTAAGGTATAGCAGAAACGAAACAATGACTAACTTGGTACAATCATATGTGAATCAAAGTGGAAGGATTCGTTTTGATGATTCCAGAACACACGTTTCCTCCCACTCCGACTTGTCTGCCGAATGTACCTAAACCCCAAATAACCGAAATAGGAAGTGAATGGATTTTGTACAATATTTGTTTGGTTGAACTGAAATCCTCAAAGGTCGATGATATTTTTTTCATTGGCATGACTGAATGTTTCCCCTACAATTGTGTCCTAGTGAACAAGAATAAATTCCCGGAATGTATTCATAAGCGTACTGAATACCCTGATTCCATTGTATCGTTGTTGAGTGATTATTTGCTGTCTAATGAGGTCACAGTAACTTTTTGCAGACATACATTGTCTATGTAACTGACTGCCCCTTTGAAATTTAATAACACTGTGTGTGTGTGTAATTAGTTAGTCAACTAGCATTTCTCTGCTCTAATGTCGATTTCAATGCAATAGCCACTAAAGTTGAGGGAATATAAAAACATCAAGGTAGTGAAAACATTTCTATCCGTCTATCATAGTCTAACAGTTTGTTGCCTAGTGAGCCACTTACATGTGATATACTATTCAGGGTTATTTGGGTGTCTTTTTTTGTTAAATATCTGTTATGAGTATTCGCACACTAAATCCATGCAATGTATAATGTGTGTGAAAAAATCGTATTAAAAGTAAGGTGAATCATCTTTACGAAGTAGTTTGTATCAGAGGTTTGCTTCAGTTGAAGAACTTTTCAGTAGTGTATACCCATAACATCGTAAAGAACTGAACCCAGGACAAGTAGCCATCATGGTGAGTGCGTTACTTGATGTATAGAAATCCAATTCCCCATAGGATCATGAATGTGAACTGCTGAAGCGTCTAAATTTCAGACGAAACACTTATCCAGTGTTCTAAAGTGTTCAATTGTTTATTAAATCATATTGACATGCAGTGAAAACCACTTTAAAATGAATTAATGAGTAAAAACTACAAATTGTAAATACCTCATAGATTGAATAAATTTCTGCTTATACCCTCTGACAGTGTTGAATATGCTGTTCCACAGTGTTATACCGGGAGTCATGATCTAGATCATATGATGATTGATCGTGGCAAGAGTCAAGTATTTATCACATTAATCACTCATTACCAGTTAACTAACCTCTTCGCCTAGTAAATCAAACATCCGAATAGTGTATTTGTTGATGAAAGTGTCTATACAGCAAGTTAGTGCCCTGAAACAGGTTACCTGGCAAGATGTTAATCAGACATAACATTTTGTTACTTTGGATTATTGGTAGCCTTCTCGTGAACAAGAATATTTAATTGTAATTCTGACAATATGAGACAACTATGATTAGGTCTATTTGTATTATTGATACTTGGCTATGATTGAAGATGAAGTGGAAATCAAAACCGCAGGAGGATTCAAACCTGTGACATCTGAGTTATCAGTTTGGTGCTCTGCAATCTGTTGATCAAATTCTTATTTATATCATTAATCAAGGGTCTTGCTGAACTACCAAGTGAATTCATGATACCTTATGGTCTATTCAACAAGACAGTTACATTTTAGTTTGCTGAAAATTGATACCAATCAGTGCAAATGAATAAGGCTCATGTACGTAATTCAGCCTTTCATGTAGATAACTTTTTCTGGACCATAAATTCTCATATATTATTATTATTATTATTTGTCCTTTGGGTTCCGAGTGGAATACAGGGCTTCACTAACACGTCGCCATTTCTCTCTCTTCTCTCCAGTTATTTCAACCTGACCACACCAATGTCCACAAGCTTTCATTTCTTGCTCACACCATCTCTTCCATCTCACCCTCGTTTCGGACACTCAACTCAACGTTTCCCCTTTCGGGTTCCATTCAAGGGTGTGAACTGGACTTGTCCGTGATTTCCCCGAACCGTCTTCTCAATCCATATCAAATCAAATCCATCTCCACTTTCCTACTCTGCATTTTTGTTGGACGACAGATTCTCGGTTGGTTGGTTCATTGCCAGCCAGCCAGAGTTCCTTGCTGCTTATTCTTATCATTTTGACCATCTCATCTCATCTTCAGTATCGAGTGAGCGTAGGAAGCTGTTGATGAATGTCTGTAGTTTGTTGGAAATGCTTTTCGTAACATGCCAAGTTACTGAACCATGTAGAAGCGCTGACTTACTTGACAATAATGTTGAAAACTCGGATCTTGTTTTCGGTGCTGAGTTGAGTGCAGTAGATCACCATACTGATATTAAGTTAATGAAGGTTTATCTTCTATTTCTGATCCTGATTTTGACGTCCTCATCTGTGCCTGCGCCACCCGTAGTTGAGACGATGCCGTTTAGGTAGGTGGGTGAAAGAGACTATTTCCTCTAGGTTTCTCCCGTTGATGGTGATTAGTGCTTGTTGTTGTTGGTTGGGCATCTTCATCACCTATCTTCCCTACGTTCACCTGAAGGAAGTCCCGTCTTCGCTGCCTCTTCTGTCAAGTTGTTGGATTTTGCGTGTAGATCTTCGAGTTTGTGCGACATTAGACATAAATCATCGGCAAAATCCAAATACATTCTCATATTCGACCAGTAGACAATCAACTTTGAAATTTCAATTCTTAGTGTTTTGGGATACAGATTTGTGATGACTAATTGAAGTGCGTACAACACCACTCAATGGATTTCAGGCACATCCAGCTGACGAGCCTTAAGTAGGACGAAATATGAGTCCTGTATCCCTATTCTAGTTATCAAGATGGATATAAAATCACGTAATAATAGTTTGTTAATGATTGACTCCAGATGTGCAGCGTAGAGGAAGCTTCGAAACCCAATGACTACTAGAAGTCAACAGTCTCGGTATTCTTCCTTCTAAAGCGATGTGTGTGTCAAGTTTAATTTTCCAAAACACACTTCTACTTACATAAATCTCAAAGCCCTCTCTTCTCCAACAACACCAAAAAATGGAGTTGCATATGTAATTATCCAATCTTTCACCATACCATCACAATCAAAATATGGTTGAGTCCAATAACCATCTTCATAATATGGTACACGATAATATATTGGAAAGGTGAAATAACGCTGTAGTTGAGTTCCATTGACATCACTTCGTATAAATGGCTTAGTTGTAATTCGCTCTAATCCTTGTCGACTTGATGCCCATCTTGACTGAAACAAAAGAATAACAGTTGGACCAAAATGACGAACATAGTTTATGAATTTAGTAGTAAACAGAAGCGTAACAGATCGGAAACGAGAAACGTTTGTTGTAATTCAGTGATTCAGTCAAAAACCCCCACCAATTGAAAAGACAAGTTTTCTGTCCAAACCCCTGTTAAAACAGTAAATGCAAACCTCGCTGATGAGTCTAAACCCACGATATTTGAACATTCTGAATTCGCCGGTTGGTAACTGTTAAATCAGTCCTTAAATAAATCATGCCAAGTACAGCTAAAATTACTCTACGAAAGTCAGTTGCCTACAAGTTGGCATTCATCACTGATTCAAATCAGCTGAAGAACCACTCAAAACCTGGCAGCACTCAACAGCTGTTTCGTCCTAGTATGGGACTCCTCAGCAGTGTGCACACATGACCCCGTCCCCCAGCGATCGAGCCCAAAATCTTCAGGTCTCGTAGCCAGCACGTTACCACTGAGCCACTGGGTCGGTGGAGCAAACCTGCCAGCCATGAGGACAAATACTCAACAGTGACATTGGGTGATGCTCACGTTATGTTGTGAACTGACAGATATGGGAAATATGGACCACTGGATTCCGACCCAGTGGCTTAGTGGTGACGTGCTGGCCACGAAACCTGAGGATCCTAGGTTCGATTCCTGGTGGAACGGGGTTATGTCTACACACTGCTAAGGAGTCCCATACTAAGAGGAAACAGTTGACAAGTGTTGCCAAGTTGTCAATAGTTCTCCAACTAATATCAGTCCATGATGAATACCAACCCAAAATTAGTAAATAAATCTCCATAAAAAAACCCCAAATTGAAAAAATTAATTCCCAGAAAATGATGATAATAAGAACTAATTATGTTCTGTTACGTCATCTGTTTGGCACACATCTTAACTATGATAAATGGATATAATTACTAGGCTGGCATTCCAGAATTTGAAACGGTAAATCACTATTTTTGAGGGAGTTGCGGAGATTTGGAAATATTTCAAGTTGTTATTCATCGTATACTGACATCAGTTGGAGGAATAAAGGAAATCTGAGAGCACTGGACAGCTGTTTCGTCCTAGTATGGGACTCAGTAGTGCGCACCCACGACCCCGCCTGGGAACCGGGAACAGTTACTAAAAGATGACATTGGGTGGCGGTTGCGCTATATCGTGAGCTAACAGAAGTTGGGAATATGGATCACTGGATCCTGACCCAGTGGCTCAGTGATGTGCTGGCCACAGAACCCGAAGGTCGCGGGTTCGGTCCCTGGCAGGGTCGTGGGTGCGCACTGCTGAGTCCCATACTAGAACGAAACAGCTATCCAGTGCTCCCAGGTTTCTTTTTTTCCTCCAACTGATGTCAGTCTACGATGAATAATAGCTAGTAAATCACTTCGACGAGTCTGTATAATGTAATCAGACAATGGAGGTTGAATAAACAATGTGACGTATTTGTGCAATACATTGTGAATAATCTGATCATACATTTACTTGTTATGACATCTTTTGTGTGAAGGGGTTAAAATAGGGTGGTGTAAGCTTAATAAATTCAGAAGATAAGAAGAATAAGGAGGAATAATACTTTTCCAAACCTCCCTTGGCAGTAAAATTAGATGAAGATAGCCGAGGAAGGCTAGAGGTAAAGATAGGTTGTCCATGATGAATACCAACTTGAAAAATCTCTAAATCCCCACAAGTGGGAGAGGATTGAACTTTTGTTTAGCTAAGGCTTCAATGAACCTAAGTATACGGTCTTGACGACTCTTATTTGATTGTCTAAAGGTTGTGACCTGTGACCTCTTTCTATAATACGTTTACCTATTTATCTTGACTTTAATATATTATGTAAAAAAGGAATAACGCCACAGTTTGTTTACTTTCTGTGCAAACTCAAATATAAAACTAAACATTATTAAGGCGAGGATGCCACTTCATTCTTACAGTTATAAGTCATACGGTTAGACAATTTAGTAAACTTTGGATGTCAGTGAGTAGTTTGTCACTTTTCACTAGTAATGTAACTGAAAAGTTAAAGTTTTATATTGAAGCTTCACCACGTTTTTTGTCGTTTGATACTGGGAATTTCCTGTTTCGATACAAGGTCGAATCGCTCCAACTCTGTTGAGATCACAGCTTCTCATTAGAGCTTTGCGATATCCACCTGGTGGGTCAACCAGTCGTAAGTGAAGCAGATGCTAACTGAAGACCTTGGGTGATAATCGCGCTATGTCGTTAATTGACAGGAGCTGAAAATTTTGAATTACTGAAAACCGACCCAGTAGCTGAATGATTAATGCGTTCGCCATGAAACCTGAAGGTGCTAAGTTCGATCCCTAGCTGGGTAGTGGGTGCGTACTGCTGAGGAGTCCCATATTAGGACGAAATAGTTGTCCAGTGCTCCCAGATTTTCAGTGGTTCCCCAACTGATATCAGTCCTTGATGAATACTACTTCTACATTAAAAACCTCTATTCATCTCAAAAATAAATAATCATTCGCCAAATTTATGTCTAGACTTGATATTATCTACCGTCTTCGAGTTAACAATGTAGTCAATCAGCACTTAGCGGTATATGGTACACCTGTTCCGGTAACCCGAAATCACTAAGAATAACACTGCATGATAATATTTGTAAAGCAAATGATTGAATGGCATTCAAATTACTACTGGATGCGAAATTTCTAAGCTATTTTTCTCTGACGTATATCTTATGTTTACTACAGTGAAGTAAAAAAATTTTGAGAATAACCATTCCTAGAAGCATCGCTAGGTTATATTTCATGTTAACTAGTCTTAGGTGCTGAACGAATTTTTTCTAGATCATTTTGAAATTTGGTCACCAAGTTAATAGGTTCATAATCTCGTTACACTTTGTTAGTTGGTCGTAATTTACAGGGATCCCTAGTTAATCTATATTTCGAACGTGTTTGAACTTATCACCAAATTGTCTTCTCAATCACACAAAAGCTGATATCTTCCTTATGAGATTCAAATTCAGGCCACCCAGTGATCCTGTTACAGATGCTATCATTAAGTTATTTTAAGAACGATAGACCTCCTACAGGAAAGTAACCAATTCCACATTGTGAAGTTTGATAGTTTGATTTGTACTGCAACTGATTATTGCTTCCATCATATATATCGTAGTGTAGTAGTATTATTTACTGACGAAAGTCTAAACACTGGTGTCTAAGAAATGTCTTCACACTGTAATCAATACTTAGATTTCAGGTGATCCGATCCGATCTCATTTAAGTTAGGTATAAAGTAAGCAATACTGTTTCGCTGTGTTTGGAATGAGTCGTTGACTGAACAGAGCCTCATAAGAGTATGAAGTAATTGGCTTTGTGTGAATATTCATAGCCTGCTTCTTTGCTTGAGTGTAATTTGATTGATTACCTGGTGAGTACATGGGCGAATGCTGAAAGTGATTGGCTGATTTCTTGCCCATAGTTTTCTCAGAGAGATGTGCAACCATGTGATTGGTGAATTTCTTCTGCTTGTTTATAGTATATTGAAGCCGCTTCGTTACGATTAGGCCACCATTTTTGTTTAACTACAGTAACGAAGGTTGTCTTGATGTGATTAGTTCATTCCATCTACAATATCTATTCCAATCAAGTCACATGATCAGACAAAAGTGTTTTGGCAACATAAAAGTCCACATTAAGTCAAAAAACAAAAGGTTTTTCGCTAAGAATAACTCTAAAATATACGCAGCATTCAAGGACTGCCTATCGGAAATCGGTAACCTAGGGGATAATGCTACAGCATTTCGAGCGGTTGGACCTTGGTAACCATTATTAGGTATGTACATTCAGCTGACGTGCACCAAGAAGGACGAAACGAGTTTCCTAGGTTTTATTCTTAGCCATTGTCCAGTAATATTTTCCAAAAGACACTTTTTTCAGCGATTTCATTCTCAAGCTATATAATCGTGTACAAATATTATATTCATATGTTAACAGAATAAGAATAATTCATGAAATATTTCTCTAAGGATAGAAATTCAGTCTTAATTACAACTTATCAAATTAAAGTGAACTTTTTTCATCACACCAGTGATAAGTACAGTTTAAAAAAACTTGGTAACTGAACTGCTTTGGAAAAAGTTACAGATTCCAGTGCACATTGGTTGTAACCACTTATTCTGTTCATTGTGAAGGCTTGATATTCATTATGGCCTAAAATCAGTTGAAGAACCGTTAAAAATTTGGGAATACATGACACCTGGTTCATCATAGTGCAGAACTTCTCAGCGATGAGCATCTCTGACTCCTGAAATAGTATCGAACCCAGGAAATTTCATTTTCTCCGGTGAACATATTGCCATTGAACCATTGGGTCAGTTTATAATTATAGCGAGAACTTCAACGCTGGCCTCACGACCTTGAGTTCGATAACTTACAAGGTCATGGGTGCGTGCTGCTGAGTTTGGACAAAACATGTGTCCAATGCCCCCAAATTTTCAGTAGTTCTCCAGACTGATTTCATTCCATGATGAATACGAATTTATTTTGTTCAGCTATAGTATTTCGACAATCATTCGATATATACATCATACTAATGACTGGCACAAGTACTGTAGAACAACTATTAACTTGTCCAACGATAAGATATTCACTAATTAACTATAACAAATGAGAAACATAACTTGATTCGGATACTTTTTAACGGAAACGTTAGCAGTTTTAAAGATAAAAAATCCAAATGTGCTGCCTTGAAAAATGTGTCCACACATTAAGGGTAATAACAATAATAATAATGATGAAGATAATAACAATATTGATAGTAATAGTTAGGATAATGAAACAAACTACATTTTATCATTGTGATATCATCATAAATGTCTTATTTAACTGATATGATTTCACTAAGTAATTCTCTAATGGTTTTGGCGCCCGTTTAAAAGAAAAAAACACTTTGGCCGAGCTGAGAAAGTTCAGTATATATATATATATATATATATATATATATATATATATATAGGGAGAGAGAGAGAAATACTAAAGTCATTGGTCAGAAATGGACAATCGCCAGAGAGTTAGGGAGACCTAAGTAGTACTGTATACCAGTATACAAGCGATATTATATGTCGACGAAGCCGAAGTCTGTTGGCGATATAGTACAGTTATTGAAATGGTACAAAGGATTTTTACCTCAGCATGATGATGGTGACAATTGTTTAGTGTTTTCCAAGCTTTAAAGTTTCTTCTTAAACATTTGTTTCATCACCAGACTAGTGGACTTCATCATTACTTACTTCATAAAGAAGTGAGGTATTTTTCGAATCAGATGAATGTTAATTGAGGATATTTTCCAACTTTCAGTATTATTGGCATGTGAGTAGAGATGAATCTGCCTAGTTGTTTTAATTGAAGTTGACCTTTGTAACCGTTGCTAGTAGATGATCCATCCTGTAGAACTAATGTCTGATTATTGGTGTGGCTGACTGGTTTCCACTTGGTCAATCTCTTCATACTAGTCCGCATGTTGGGTTAATCATTGTCAATTTGTCTGTTGATTGACATTTTATTGGAGTGTTAGGCTTCCAAGAATTCTCTTGCCGTTATTGAGCTGGTTTGTTCTGGTATTTCCACGTTATCCCAATCAAAATTAAGATTGTGTCTATCTACATGCATCAGTATCAATAATGACATATCACGTTGTCTGACTGTAAGCTGATGCTCATAAATTCTTTGGGTTATTCAATGATTGGATTGATCAACAGAATGATGCTGACATTCCCTAGAGTTTCATTTGATCGACCATATTCGTCTTGCCTTGTTTGGATAGTGGATGCAAAAGCTTGCATAATACGTTCTGTAAAGATTTGACTGATGTGTGTGTCACACTGAAACCGAATGGAACATCTTTGATTCACGTTACAGAGGTTCTTTTCGCAGATTGATTTGATCATATTGAGGTATGTCTTATTGATAAGCATTTCTTAATGAAATTGACTGGACCTACATTGACTATGAACACTTTGTAAAGATGGTTTTCTCTTGATTTCCATAGTTGTTGAGTGCCATAACGAATCTTGTTGCATGCGAATAGTACTTCTACACAACTTTTCTTGCCAGATGTTTGGTTGTGACTGATCCGCTAGGGTTACTTTTACTCACACTTGAGTCTGTAAGATTCAATCATGTGTTCTACTGATAAGAACGTTCAGGAACGCAATTTTGTTTTCTTCCTGTTTCTGAAATGGTGAAGAATATCTGTAGCTCATGTAGAGAATCTTGGTTGTAATGTGTTCTCTAAGCTAGGTTGTTTTATCGTGAAGCTTTCATCGTCTTCCTAGACAGAGACATCATCAGCACCAACTTCAATATGAAGTGACCTGTCAGTATCTCTCCATGAGTGATTTAGTAGCTTGCCCTGAAGAAGTGGTTTGTGATTGGTTATTTCCCTTGATTGTTGTGTTATTGACTGACTGTATAGATTTTCCCGTTGGCTGTTCCTCTGCTTGACCCCTGACTTTTCTGTCTTCCACCATTTATCTCATTGTTTGATGGATTGGGTGTATGTCTATATAACTACTGATTGCTGACTGACTTGAATGCCAAGCTTCTAGGAATCCTGTGATATTTTTTATGTTTCCTCTGTCCAAGATTTCTACACTGTGAAGACTGAATTCATGCCCATAGTTACCCATATGAATGCAAATGAGAGATAAAATGTCGTGACGTTTAATAGCCAATTGGTGTTCATATAAACGAAAATGTTGATGATGTCATTTAGAAAGACGATGCGGAAATTCTAAGAATATTGACCTAAGAATCGGTAAAAATATTTTTTCAGTTTACTCGTATATATACAAATTGCCAAAATGAACCGACAGTCTTCTTTAAATAGTCAATAACAGAAATGAATATTAAGTGTATTCAAACAAGTGGCGCAACTTTTGAACAGACTTCAATCCCAGTGAGTTTCACATTCAAGTTGTCTGAAACTTAAACGTTGATATATCCAAGCGATAAATAATTTTCGCCACCATTCAAGTATGATTTCAACCAAGTCTTCACTGAAATCCAACTAGTCAAAATGTTAGGTCGTCCTGTTGAACATAAAAGAGTAGTAAACTAGCATGATAAACAGATAAAATCAACCTGGAAACTTGTATAAAAGTCCATCAGTTCAAGTTGCCAAATAATAAGTGAATAGAAAAGACTAAAATAAAAGTAGGTAAAAGTGTATGGAAGAAGAGGAAATTTAAAAATTAAGATTACTTAAAACGTTCAGCCTTTAGAACACATCAAAGAGTGCATCTGCACTACTAAGGCTGGTTTACAGCCGTATCACCAAGAATCTTTTAACTACTGTTTCCATTGGTTTTGGGGACCCGAGCCAAGTAGTCTCCACCTCCTTACACGGTTCACACCAACAATCAGAGACTTCACCGACCGATACCAGGTCTTAGTTTAGCCATCCTGAACCCTGTTCAAACTAATCCAACTTTCCCTAGTATTGCACGTGGAGTAAGGCGAAGATTTGGCATACGCACTACATGTTCAAGCCGCCTCACTCAATCAATGTTCTCAAACTCACTGACTGACTTTCCTTCCTTCCCTAGAATCCTTCATCTGACCTTAGTATTGTTAACGGTATGACTCAACAATACGCCAGCAATTTCGCAAAGACGTCCGTAGTCGAAAACCTGTAACCGCTTCATATCTTGCACTTTCGTTGCTGTCATGCCTCACAGCCGTATAACAGGACAGATCGGATTACAGCAGGACGGTATATCCGTACTTTAACAGGTAGTGGGACATCTTGTCAATTGACACCATAGATAATGCAAATTCGTAAATCTCGAAATAACTGATAAAGGACATCAGCAATCGGCAGCCGTTCCCTTGGATCTATCGATCAGTTCCATGAAGGGAAAACTGTAAGTGTACACACGTGATGAACTCATTTCAAATGCGTCAATCAGTTTCGAACACAATACGAAATAATATTGAACGTTGTGGAAGCGAAATTGTCTATTTTGAAGAATTAGAACGGTCTCTTATCTACTGTATTCATCTTGCTTACTAGCACCGGAACCTAGGTTGGGTGTTTCGTCCTCTTCGGGACTCATCAGCCTGATGTATCTGCACCCCAGTGAGTGGTGTTCTTTCCACTGGGACTTGAGACAAGTAAGCATCGCTTCAAATGGCAAAGCGTTATTCGCTAAGCCATGTGGGCACGAGAGCCATCTCTTGTCCAACGGGTATCAGTTATTGCTTGATACTTGTAATTTCTCGTTGCTATACAGAATCAAATTGCTCGACCTCTGTTGGCCTAGCGAATAGCATCTTGGTGATGGAAATGATGAGCACTTGGCGTGTAGGTGCACCCAACTGAAGAATGTTGGAGAGGATAAAATTGTACAGTGACTGTTTTCTAAAATTGAAGGCTGCTGTGATAAGGTTAAGGTATTTTTTTAAACTTATAACAACTATGAAAAGGCAGATTATTGGTTATCTTGATGTCATGAGTTAAAAATCATCTGATAGCTTCTTATCTAACTCATATATTCCGCATAATTCACAAGGTCATTCAACAGTACCTATGTAAATCATCATTTCTGCATATAACAACCTACCTTCAGAGTTCGAAACCATGATTTTTCAGTATAATCTCGATAATAATTTATACTCATATCAATTGCTTCAGCTGCTTGAGTTGCATGAAGTGGTTTATATGCATATGGAGCGAATAAATCCCAAGTTACTTCATCATGATCTGTGAACATTTGATAGTCGAAGAATATTCCACTTGATACAATATCAAAATTTGATAAAACATTTGCAATAACTTCACCAAATAATTGATAACGATTAATTGGAAAACCAGTCTATTGAAAAAAAAGAGATTGAAAATGAAAAGTGAAACAGTGAATAATACTGAGTATATTGAAAAAGAAGAACTGACTTGAATGCGTGCTAGACATGTCAAATTGTTGTAGAAGTAGGATTAAGTGGCTTGACTAAGTAAGATTGTTGATTTGCCTATCTGGTTGAATAATCAAGAAGTTAGTAATCAATAATTGGTGACTCATTGGTTGGATAGCTCAAAATACAAGCGTCATTAGGTCTTAATTTCAATTCATAGGGGTTGACTGGTCTCTAACTTGAATGGTTCCTAATAGGACTTCAATGGTTTATAGTCTTGGGGTATTTCTGAAGTCAACTATTGCTTGAATGGGGTAACCTGGTTTATGAACCTTAATACCACCATAAATCCTGGTAGTATTATCAGTTCTAAGCATTACATTAAATCAAATGAAAAATGATTTTAGTCGACACATCAGATAGACTGTAGATTTTTGAATCTTGTTTGATGACAGTGTCTATAGGTTTCTTGATCTCTTTATATAGTACTGTTTAGATATGTTTATTCTAATTCTCTTACCTTCTTTATGATATGGGTAGTAGGATCTCTCATGTATTCGGAACAAGTGCTGAGTTATTCCTGTTCCACATATTAGGTGTAGATTCGATACTATTCAAATTCATCGACGTTAAACGGTCATCCTTGCAACACTCAATCCCTCCAATACTATAAAACAAAACCTTGGATTGGAAAGACCAACACCTGAAAAGAAAGTTACATCTACTCACAATTCAACGGCTCATAAAGTTGATAAATATCCCACATGAACATTCATACAATTAGAGAATGCTTCATCTTTTTATAAAGCAAATATTGATGAAGTCATTTAGCCTGATTGTGAAATGTCCAACATGAAGTATCAAAATTCAAAAAACATTGAACATTTATCAAATTCTGTTCTTGAGAAATTGTCCTCAATTTCGACTTTTTTGGCTCCACTGGTAGCGACTTCTCCGGGAATCATCTCTCGAAGCTAGTTACCAATGAGCCCTAGATTCATTCAATCTGGAGGTTTGTGGAGATTGATTAATTGATTTCAGGTTAAAATTCATCCTGGACTAACATCATTTGGAGTAACATTGGAAACCTGAGAGCATTGAACAGCTGTTTCACCCTAGTATGGGACTCTTCAGCAGCGCGCATCCATGATCTTCAGGTTTCGTGTCCAGCACCTTACCATTGAGCCACTGGACTAGAATTCAGTGGTCCATATGTCCTATTTCCACCAGTTCATGATATATTAAATTATCTACTTTGTGATTCTTGGAATCAATTACAAAGAGTCCAATTAATAAATTACTTTGTATAATAACATACCTTTAAACTGCCATATAGTTCTCCGATAACATTACTTTGATAATAAGCACTAAGAAAATGTGACAAACGTAAGGCTGTTCGTCCAACCATTTCAAATTGTTTCTCTACACCATAACTAACTTCACCAGGTAAAATTAACTGATCTGGTGTCATTTGCTGACAGTTTTTACTAGTCACTTTACGTACATGTGCAATCAAACGTTGAACCTTAAAAACAGAATTAGAAAAAACAGAAAAACGAAATATTTAATAAAGATTCTGTAGTGAGAAATACTTATGCTTGGTATATTATTATTTAGTTATCGGAAAGTTAGTGGTTGTTTTGCAACTCTTCAAAAAGGTTCATAGTTTAGTTCGGCTTGCATTCAAAAAAAAGTTTTTCTGTTCCGCTCCTGATGGATCGAAGGAGACAGATAGATTATACCATCAAATTAATGTCTTCACTGAAGTCTCAGCCACTGGATAATAGTCTTTGCTACTTGGTGACTTTGGATGTGAAGAGATGTCATTCAATGATTTAATTCGTCTCAGATTTTTGCCAGCGATATCTAAGTTTGAAACCCGAATTAAAGGTGGTTTAAATTAAACTATTCAGCGATGTATTGGTTTTCATGCTGGGATTCATCATGGATTGACACCAACTAGAGAAATACTGGAAACCTGAGAGCATTAGACAGCTGTTTCATCCGGGTACTGAACTCCCCAGCAGCGTATATCCACCACCCTGCTTAAGATCGAACCCAAAATCTTCAAGTTCCACATCTGGCACATTACCATTGAGCAACCGGGTTGGAATCCGATGGCCAGTTTTTCCAACCTCTAAGCCCATTGATGACTAGCTTCGAGAAGTGATTCCTGAAGTTCTAATGAGTTGTTACCGTTGGGGTCAACCAAGTCAAACATGAGAAAGTTACTCAACGACAACACTGGATGAAGGTCACTCTATGTTGCCCATTAGATTTCAACCTAGTAACTCAATAATGAAATGCTGGTGGTGGAACCCGAGGGTTCCAGGTCCGACCCCTAGCAAGATCATAGGCTCGTGCTGCTGAGGAGTCCCATGCTAGGATGATACAGCTGTCCAGTGCTTTTAAGTTTCCGGTATTTCTTTAGCTGATGTCCATCTACGATGAATGCTAACCTGAAATCAATGAATAAATCTCCACCAAGTTCAACAATGAATCTACAGTTTTGTTCAGTAATACCTTCAAGAAAACGGTTGTCCTGAAAGCTTACTGTAGTTTAAAGCGACCCCTCAAAATAGAGGGTAAAAACCTGAGTTTTGCATCTGAAAGAGAGAATTTTGTGATTCCCCCTATTCTTCTTATTTTCCATTAAAATTGATTGACTTTCATGTATATTTACCTTCGGCATTCTTACCACCATGTGTTCCCATTCCTTTTTCCGTTAAATGGGATATAGATCCTCATCTAGATCACTCTAGAATAATCACCTTAAATTGATCTCTTACTTGTGATTTCAGTAGCCATTTTGCATACCAGATTAATTCTTTGCTGATGACTGGTAAAATTTTATAAAAAGGGAATGTTAAGCGCATTGTTCATTTCTAGTAATTAACTCACATTTGTATTTACTTGACCTGAACGTAATCCACACAAGTCGGTATCAGCGCCCTCTTTATTTGGTAACTAATTGTGCCTAATGTGGTCTACAATCAGGTATGTCCTAGGGGAACATTACATTTTTCTACATCATGATAATTACCCAGTAGATAGATTTGGAGTGAAGGGTAACAGTAGCTGACAAGTAAACCAAGAATGCTTCTACCTCTGAAAATTGCATGATTGATAGTGATTGACTGATTTGCTAGCAGTTCCTGAGAACAGCACTAAGCTCGTAGAATACCTCAGTTTAAACCCCTCCTTATTGAGCTGAAGATATATGTCATCAGATAACATAGCCTGCGATATATCCTACCTTCTCAGTGGTCAAAAACAACTGAGAGTGAGGAAAGAGAGTCGTAGATCCAGGTTTTACATTTGGATACCAGTTAGCGGAGCATATCTGAAATCTCCAAAGGATTAATGTTCCTCTAAATAAGTGAACTCACATCATTCAGCTTTACAGTTGAAGGTGTTACCATTGAGGTATTCACAAGACAAGTGATCTCATTTACTAGTGAATTAGGTGTACTGATCGATCAACTGCATAGCATCGAACGAATTGCACACCAAGGCCAAGCTTTTTCTAGTTTATCAATGTTACTAATCTGAAAGAAAAGACTATCAATAATGGAATCCCAGTAGATGTCCTCAAAGAATTATGCTCAATAGTATGATGAATGTTAACTTTAAACATAAGGGGGTGAACTATATAGACAAGTGGATGGAGTCACAATAGGCTCGCCACTAGCTCCCATATTAGCGAACCTTTCACGATCGAAACTAGAGAATGGTTTACTTAAACCAGATATTAAAGAATTTTCATTTTAATCTCGATATACAAATGACACTGCCATCCTGTGAAAAACTAACATGGATGGCTCAAAAATACTCAGTAGATTTAACATAGTACACCCACTGATGGAGTTTACATGTGAGGAAGAGTCTCAATGAGAGATAGCTTTTCTCCATACTCTTCTCTCATGTCGAAAAGAAGAGTCGATGGAGGGCAATTTGTTTAAGAAAAGTACGTGGACGGAGCAATAATGAACATTTTCTCAGCTACGTCCCCCTTCAGTACAAAAGAAACTGAGTAGAACCCCTAACTTACAGAATGAAGGCTATATGTTTGGAAGATACAGTTGGGGGAGGAACTGGCGAGTTTGTGCAACACACTAATCAAAAATAGCCATCCTGGTAAATTCGTAAAGAAACATACTATTACAAAAATGTTAAGGAGGGATATTCCAAAGACTAGCAGAAACCTGCTATACATTTGGGTACAATTTAGAAGTGACGTGGTCAATGAGATATTAATTCACAAAATACATAGATCAACTCAGAGAACTTTCAACGCTGGTAAATTACAAGTTTCGCTTTCCTTACGCCTAATGCTGCCACCAAGACTGAAAGTTGAGTTGCTTAGACTGGCTACATCCTGTTGTGTTTATGAATTTGACTGCTCCTGTGGAGCCAGTTACGTCAGTCCCTGTACTAGGAATTTTTTTCTCCGTGTTTGCGAACACCTTCCAACGTGGTTAAGTAAAGGTGTGGTAAAGATTATTACCAGCTCGATATTACCACATCTGGTTGAAATGAATCATAAAGTGGATTTGTGTGAGTCTTCAACTTCCTACCAACTTGTCAAAATGTACTCGGCTCAGGATCCTTCAAACTGCAGGAGGAGTAGTAATCAGGATCAAATAAACTGAGTTGTCTGTTCAAAAGAAGCAATTGTTGCCTCTACAATTACCTTGGCCCAACTGGGGACGCACAAATGCGTTGGCATCTACGTGTGTGAAAATTTACACCTATTCACGCAAGTTTAGCTTACTTCAAAATATCTATCAGCATCAAAGACCGTGCCAACTCCAACAGTATAGAATGGTGTATCAACATTTCGTCGTCTACGTTGTTTCATTATATCATGATTTTCTCCCCTACCAATATCAGTTTCATTATGATCAAGTATATAAGATTCACTTTCCAGTTGATTTTCACCATTTGAATCTTCTAAATAGGTTAAGTTGAAATCATTCTGTTCTAATGGTAATAGATGAGAAACTGATCGGTATCCAGGAACAAGACGATCAAATGGCTGATCATTTTGATTTAATGTTGATGTCAATGGTTGATCTAATATCCCATCAATCAATATTGATGAATCCAGTTGAGGAGGTGTTGGAAAGAAATGTTGTTTTACTGATCCAAATGCTGTCCAAATTGAAAGTATATAAAAAAAGGAACTAATTATTCTTAGTATGAATCAGTTTTTATCGTATCTGACTGATAAGAAGCGGCCTAAATCGAAATCAGCATTCTAAGTCATCAGTCGCCAACTTAAAGGTTTTGAATTTCAACCTTGGTTTCATGTTAGTGTGTAGGCAGAAATCCTTATTGGACAGTTTTGTCCTTCAGCTGACCAATGAAAATAACTATCCAACTAATGACCTAGTGGCTTTATTTTCTGAGGAAAAACTGTATATAAATAATGCTTTTCTCGTCAAAGTTGTTTTCCATACAATTACACGTCGGTCTTTGTCTTCTGATTTTCACGGCTCAGTGAAATATCAGGTCTGAGAGAGAAGAATCGCTATTCATAACCAAACCACTTGTTGCATTGCATTAGTAGGGTTTCTCGTATTTCGTATTATTCTGTAATTGTTGCTCACTTCCACTCAGTCACTGACGATACATCCTAACGTTTAGAAACTCTAAATCACTCTCTACTTGATCGATAACTGTATGACAGATATTCATGAATAATTCAAATTATGTTGACTGTAAGAATTTGTCATTCTGAAGTCAAAGAATGATTCCGTATATCAATGGCAGACATGTCATGTTAAAATGTAGTGTAGAAACATTACAGCAACACAAGAAAATATGCATTTCTCGGTCACTAGAGAGCCTCCAACTTCATGTTGTCTAATCCTGAGTGCTGACTGAATTCTGTTGATCATTTTACAATATGGCCACCAAACTAGGACGCTCACCATCGTGGCGTATTTTCATAGACAGGAAGTCATACTTGACCTGGATTTCTTTCTCACTGACATTGGTCACGAGGGTATATCTGCAATTTCAAAGAGACCGATGCTGCATCTGAAATCCGAACCCGTATCACTCACTATTGTAGTCAGCCCAAGATGCCTTTCTGATTGACTCAAATTACCCATCGTAGACAACCTTTAGCGGTATAGTCTCATTAATCCATTTCATTTATGTATGAGTTTTTCTGGTTAATATCAATAACCATATGCTTTCTCTCATTGTAGACGTTTTCATCATCTCTTCAACTCTAAGTGCCGAACACTTCTCATAGTCATCTTGTAAACTCATAATGAGTCTGTATTTCAGCTTCTTAGCCGTTTATTATGCTCGTTACCTACAAGAATACATTTATGCCCATCAGCTGATTTGGACGAATCTGGTCAGAATTTTTAGACTTTTTTAATCGTTTTTGAAAGTCAGGTTGATATCAAGCGAGTTGTCTGTGATACGACTAACTTATCATGCACTAAATATCAAATAATCTGTCAAACACATTGACTAGTAATGGAAATATTAATTATTATCTGTCCTTTAGGTTCCTAGTGGAACGTAGGGCTTCAGTAGCATATTGCCATTTCACTCTCTTCTCTGAAGTCTTTTGAACCTGGCTCCACTACTTCCCAGAAGCTTTCATTTCTTCCTCACACGATTTTTTCCATGTCACACTCGGATCCCTAACTTGTCGTTTCCTATTTGCGTTCCACTCGATGGCCTGGCCTGGCACGTGGTGTCCCCAAACCGTCTTCTCAGTCTATGCCCAATATAATCCATCTCCACTTTATTTCTCTACATATTTTTCGGGCGATAGGTTGCCAGCCAGCCAGAGTTCCTTGTTGCTTATTCTTATTATTCTGGCCATCTGATCTTCAGTATCCAGTGGCCGTTGGCGTCAGTAGTTGATGATAAATTTTCTGTAGTTCGTCGAAAATGCGTTTCGTAACGCGTTAAGTCTCTGAACCATCACATAGAAGAACTGACGTGACTGATATTAGTGTTGAAAATCCGGATCTTGTTCTTTATGCTGAGTGCAATGTGGTGCAGTGCAGTAGATCTCCATACTGATTTCAGATTAACGAAGGCCTGTCTTGCTTGCTTTTTTGATCCTGGCTTTGACATCATCATCTGTGCCTGTGCCGCCTGTAGTTGAAACGATGCTGTTTAGGTAGGTAAATGAAGGAGATAACTTCCTTTAAATTTCTCCCGTTCATGGTGATTGGTGTTTGTTGGCGGTGGTGGCTGGGTACCTTCATCACCTCTGTCTTCCCTACGTTCACCTGAAGTCCCATCTTCGCTGCCTAGCCTCTTCTACCAATTTATCAGTTTTCTCTTGTAGATCTTCGAGTTTGTACGACATTAGAGATAAATCATCGGCAAAATTCAGATCATCTTCTAGGGTCTTTTCATCGATCCAAACAGCGTATGCCCATCTTCACACAGCTTCTCACAGTTTGTTGCATGACCAAGTCTACTACAATAAAAAATATCATCGGTGATAATAGGCGGCAACCTTGTCTTACTCCTGTCTTCACTTCAAAGGCATTACTGAGCTTTTATTGTGAATCATTTGGCATGAAGCAGCATACAGCATATAGGTATTGAATAAGGTTGTTGATAAAGGTTTGTGGCACTAAAACCATAGTGTTATAGCAGCTGCCGAATTACTTCTCTGTTGACGCTCTTGGAAATATTAGTGCCAAGAAAAGTTATACATATTGATTAACACTTGAGCTAACGGTCGACAGAGTCAATTCATGCTTGAAATTTACATTAAAAACAAGAAAATTACTAAGAGATCTCTCAAAGAATAAACTAATGTCAAAGATAGATGGTTTGTGATAGTATATTAAAGTTAAAGTGGCATTTTATCTTACTTGCAAATAATGAATTCATCAAATGAACTCCAGGTTCTTTAAATCGATTCCAGAAAGTCAAACTACCTGTTGTCACGAAAAGGAAAGGCAAAACAATTTTTTTTATAAGAGATATAATGTTTACAAGATCTAAAATTTTGTAACAATAAGGTTCAAGAACATCACAAAAGTGATTCGATGTTTCTTTAGAGTACTAACTAAACTATTCAAGGTTGTTCCGTCTGACCTTGAAATTGAGTGTAAATCTAAACTTAAGTAACCTAACAAGAAATTATCTGATTTCTACTTTGTCGAAACATAAAAACACGAAGTTAAACTTCTAGTTATTAAAACTAATCTGAGCGATCTCGTGAATGGTTACCAGTGTTTTGTTGTCAAGACTATAATGTTAGGGAAATGAAATAGCAAGGTCTATTGTTAAAATGAATTCCATTACACTGTCTGTAAAATAAATAACCTATTATCACCGAGCCAGGTTTCATACAAACAGTATGACTAGGCAGTGCTGTACTAACGAAATAATAATTCAACATAATAGTAAGCTAATTCCTTACTCTATTCTAATTCTTTAACAGAATACTCTAAGTTCTGAATCGAAATGATAACTGGAGGTTGAAAATGCTAATTACTGAAGAGTGTATCCAAAGCCGAAACCCTAAAACATGGAATAGCGTAAAATACTTGCATACATTTGATACAGATATGCCTTTTTTAAAGTCCAGCAGATTTTAGAATAACTTTCCTCGCTTAGTATACCTGATTGTTGGTCAGCTGAACGGCGATCTCGTTCAAGAATGGTCTTCATGCCTGTCTCTTCTGGAATAACTTCACGCCAACCAACTGGTATACAATCGAAATTATTCCGGTATTCTTCTTCAGTAGCTGCTTCAATATCAACACCACGAAATGGTCCATCTTGTTCATATGGTAAACGATGTCCAGGTTGGCAGACACACTGATAACCTCCTCGTTTGAAACCGAAACCGGGAAGAGGTACGCACTAAATTGAGAGAGAGAACAAGATATGAACACACTCTCCTAATTAGTAAAATACTTTAAATTTCAATTGCAAATGACTTACAAACTTCATGGTCCACACTATGACGTTTCTCAGGTTTGAGCAGTTTTTCAACTATCCAACTGTGGTGTTAACAGGGATTCAGGTGGAAACCACTCAGCAGAGAGCAAAAGTACCATGTACTAACGAAAAGTGCTACTGAGCAAATTAATCTGATCTGTAGTATTTCACCAACCATATCCGAATGATCTAATCACTAGACGGTCGTTTCCCTCGTTTTCAGCCAACTCATCATGGGGTGTCCGAACAAACTTTAAGCATATCGGTCAACGCAAGTCAGCTAGTCAGCCACATTCAGGTGATCTGAAGTAATTTGGCTCCAAAAGACGAATGTATCTAGGTACACGGCTTAAGAGGTCGGTCAAAAACCAACGAAACGGCTGTACGGTGCTTAAATGACTCTGATTTGGCTAATGATATACTACTGATCGGCCTGAATGGTTTGCAACTACTCAAGTTATTTATTAGTAGTATCTTCCGCCAAGAAGTTGTAGACGTTGACAGTTTGAAAATATGGAATCTGGAAGGAATGTGAACTCATTCAGTGATTAAAAATCACATCATCTTTAAGGTTACAGCTATAAATGCTACCATTATGCTATGTAATGGATAGTTTTTTGCTTTTGGAGGAAATAGTTGGAAGAAAACAAAGAAATTACATTTTAAGATTTGAAACATTTAGTCCCTTTTATGAATTTCGATAGAGTAATTAGAAGACGAAGTTCATCTGAGCAATATGATGTATTTGCGCAATACATTTCGAACAATCTGATCCCTCACACATTTACTTGTCAAGTCAATGTATATTAAACGCCGAACAAACACACATCAGCCTGACATGTGAGAAAGAGAATAGTAATCAACTGCCATTTCTAGATATCCTTCTCAGTAGACAAGAAGATGGTTCAATAAGACAGTCAGTTTACAGGAAGCCTACATGGACAGGACAATACCTGAATTTCCACAGTTTTTGTCCAATCCAATACAAGCGAGGTTTTGTAAAATGCTTGTTTAACAGGATCTATCGTATCAGTACACTAGATGCGATGGATGAAGACATCAAATTACTGATCAAGGCACTTATGGAAAATGGATATCCGACGAAGTTTATATACCGTTGTAGAGGTCAAGTTGCACCAAAGCCAACTTTATACACGGTCCTTAAGAAAAATGTTCATATCACTCTACCGTGCAGAGGGGAGCTAAATAGTATCATTTTGAGACGTAGGCTGACATCAGCCACTAAGAAAACGTACTACGCATCGAATCTTACCATTGTGGAGAAAACAAAACACATGCTTCACCAAAAACCTAAACACTGCATCAGTAATTGCGTCACATCCCATTGTGTTTACCAATTTACATGTGTGTATGGTCACACATACATAGGAAGGAGTAATCGAGTTATGCAGTTGATGGTGGGAGAACATGTGCCTAGATGGCTTAAAAAAGAAATGGAGTGTGAAACAATGAAAAACGCTGGTGGGAGATGACCCTCTTCATCTATAGCTAAACATACCATAGAAACAGGTCACATACTTAATGTTCAAACCGCTTTCAAAGTTTTATATAGAAACAGTCAGGGACGTATTCTGAGATTTGCCGAAGCATAGCTATACACAAATTTAAACCACCTTTATGTGTACAAAACAGTTTGTTATTACACTACACCCACCTTGGTAAACTTTGTTTTCTTACCAAAATTAGGACCAACTATGTCACTTCCTGTTTGTCCTCATCTTAATTTTAATCCCCTATTGTGTTAATTGTTGTATTTATCCCCCCTCCCAGTCCTCGGTTTAATATATATTGACTTGACAAGTAAATATGTGATCAGATTGTTCGAAATGTATTGCGCAAATACATCACATTGCTCAGATAAACTTCGTCTTCTAATTACTCTATCGAAATTACATTTTAGTCTGTTTATAAATATCACTTAGTATCATTTACTAGATAACATTTCAGACATAATTTATTGTCCATATTTATATCACGTAACTCCACAACTTCGAAACAGAGTTTATATATTCCTAATTTCCTCTCTTCTGAGATGACATGGGTAGTAGAATTTTGCGTATATCTCAGATAGGTGCACAGTCATTCCTGTCACTGCATGTATTTGGTGTTGAATCGATTCGGTTGTCAATCTCTCCCCCCATCCAACTAAGTTTTCAACACTGTCGTCCTATCCCACCCTACTGTGTGATTGTATGTCATCGCATGCAAAGCTATAGCTGAGCTTTTCTCTAAATTTCTTATCTTATTAGGATCAACTAATCTTGATTTAGCTAAGTTTTTGTGCTGATACTCTAATCGACCTTGGTCGACTACTTTGACTGACCTATATATTTAACCTCGCAATCGTTGCAAGGGATTTGATAAATCAAATAATTTTGCTTAATTGCATCGGTAGGATCTTTTAAACCACAAAGCTTGTTTGTAAGTGAGTTTGTTGGTTTATATGCCACCCTTATTAAGAATTCTTCGTAATGCTTCTGAGGTGCCTTCGTGTGGTAACGCCGCAGAGGCTTTGAATTCTTTCTCTACCGTGTCACTGTTATTACCACCAACTTTACTATTAGTAATAGATTTATTATAAATAACACCTGCGTTACTACCACTAATACCATTACTAATATTTTTCTTTCGATTTCTTATGACTTCATTGGTAAATTTAGGTGGTCTACTAGTAAGCTTTTTCACCCTATCACTTAGGCATTTAACTAAGCCTACTTTAACTGAGGTGGGGTGAGATTATTTGGGAAGGTTTCTGATAGACAAGAGTCCCTAGACTTCCATCTTGTGTTCTTTTAATCTTGCAATCCAACATTGCTAGCTCACCTTCATCACTTTCTAAGTCATGGGTAAATTAAATCACATTCACTACTGAATTTATATGTGCCAAGATCCTTTTGATGTGTTCCTATGTCAGTACTGTAAAAGTATCATCTAAATATCGGAACAATATCTTTGGAGTAGGACTAAGTGTTTGAAGGGCCATCCATTCCTGACTGTCTATAAATATTTCTGCGATAATAAGGGAAATTAGTGATCCCATGGCAACACTTTCAGTTTGTTTATATATTTTATTTTCAAACTTAAAAATTGTAGATGTTAGGTACAATCGTACTCCTAGCATGATTTCCCCGACCGCACCTTAGTTGGATGCGTAAGTTCTTCGTCATCCTGAAGCCCACTTCTAGCTGTCTCTAGAACCGACTGAATCGATATATTTGTGTAGAGGCTAGTTGTGTCAAAACTAACCATTTTTTTCATGGTCATCTAAGTGTATGTCGTCTAATCTACGCTTTAAGTCATAAGAGTTGGTAAGTCGAAACTTTGAGTGATTTTTTATTGAGCATGACACTATTGCTAAGTATTTAGACAACTCGTAAGTCGGAGTGTTTCTAAAATCTATCATAGGTCTGATGGGATAAACTGGCCTATGAATCTTAATAGTACCATACATTCTACTGGGATTATTAGTTTTTGGCATTAAATTCAACCGTTTTGACTCACCTAGAAACGGCTTCATTCGGCGTATCAGATCCCCTGTCAATTTCTGAACCTTATAATACTATCCACTAATTTCTTACTTTCTACCTATGGTCCTGTTTCTATATGCTCATTCACTTTGTAGATGTAGTCAGATTTGTTCATTACAACTGTTGAGTTACCTTTATCTGATTTGGCAATTACGATATTGTTACCATTCTGAAGGTTTCTGAGAGCTTCTCTCTTTGACTTCGGTAAATTAGATTTCATTTTCTTCTGTCGTTTCAGTGTTGAAGCGCTATGTGCTCTTATCTCATCTGCAATCGTCTTATCTATCGAACCTAACGCTATTTCTATTTTGCGAAGGACATCTTCTGGTTTCAACTCATTAACCACTACATTGAAGTTAAGACCTTTTTCTAGCTAGAGAACACACACCTAAGCGGAACAATCAACCAGTTCGATTTTTATAAGCGATAAGTAGATGATAGCTTCATAATCTCTAATGGGATGGATAATCTAGAAGATATCCTATCTCAATTTAATAACTGCCACCCTTCAATCAGATTCACGTTAGAGAAGAAACTTAATTCTAAGATATTCTTCTTAGACGTGCAGTTAGAAAGACAAGACAATGGATTACTCGAAAGATGTACCCACAGAAAACCCATATGAAATGGACAACTCACGAATTTTCATATTTGGGTGCCTCTATGCACGCTTCTTACGCCATAGGATCTGCACTATCCGCTGTCCGGATACTTTGTTAGATGAACTAAATTTTTTTCAAAAATGTCCTGATTGAAAACCAGTATCCTGAACGTTTCAGCGCTAGGGCGATGAAACTGAAAGCAATTAACGATTCCGCCCCCACTGCTCCTAAGAAGCTGATATTCAACGGAGACACATCAGTAGATGTATTAAGAAACCGTCTGACATACTCATTGAGAAAGACTTTCTATGCTGCCAAACTCAGACTAACTTTCTCCACGTTCCCAACGCTTCGATTATGTGCAAAGGATTGATTAGCTAGCTCCCTTGGCCACTTCGATGTGTGCTTATCAATTCACCTGCTCCTGTGGAGTAAGATATATCGTCTGTACTCAGTATTCGTATTCCAAGAGCATTTCTGAATACACGCCAGCCTAGTTCTACAATGGTGAGAACATTTCTACCTTCAAAAACCTCTTCATTCAGATCCTCTCACACATTACATTCCTCCACTCCTATAATTCCGATTTCTCTTTGCATTCACCATTATTTCTGTTACAATGTGAATTATATATATATGCGATTGTACAGCTTGAGAATGATATCGCTGGAAAGAGTAACTTTTCGCTAAACGTCTTTCGTTCTATGACTTTCACATCTATTGAGCTAAGGACTCTACTACCCTTGTCATCACACAGAAGGGGAGAAAATTA